GGTTAGCGAATATAGAATTGACATTAGATTCGGATTTGTAGATCTTTATCGATAGTACACTGGTGGATTTTACCCTAGAAGCCATCACACGTCGGAATTCCTCGCTTTTACTGGCGGACCGTTGCTTTTATTATTATTTCTTTCTTTTTAGCTTTATCCCCCCACCCTTTCGATCGTCTAGATAAAGTTTAGGATAGTATAATTACGGTACTTTGTAAATTTAGGAACTTAATTCCCTGTGGATCGATATCTGGAATTCACTATTCTACAAAACGCGATACTGTACACTTGCGGTTTTTCATACTTAGGTTTTACGCGTATCACTCGAGCCGAGCTCGCCTCTTTTGGCTGGCTCGAGCTCGAGCTCGAGTTTATTTTGTCGAGCTCGAGCTCGAGCTCGAGCTCGCGAGCTCTTCTGTTTTTGGCTCAAGCTCGAGCCCATTGTCTTTTTTTTTTTTTTTTAAATATTTTTTTAATTATTATTTTATTATTAAAAATTATTTAAAAAATAAAAAATAAAAACAAATTTGTAATTATATATATTTTAATATTTGTATTTATTTCTATAATATTTTACATTATTATACATTATTTAAATAAAAATAACATATAAAAAATAAAAAAAAAATAAAAAAAAATAATAAATCCGGCTCGCGAGCTGGCTCGCGAGCTCATGAACAACTGAAAACCTGCTCGAGCTCGACTCGTCAGAAAGCTCGAGCTCGAGCTCGAAAATCTCGAGTCCGAGTTCGAGCTTTTTACGAGCCGGCTCTTCGAGCTCACGAGTCGGCTCGGCTCGTTTACACCCCTAGATCTGCTTATTCATCTAATAACCGTAGATAAAATTCAATCAACGGTGGATTTGAAACCGAGAGAAACACACAAAAAATCTTTTCCATTTATATAAAAGAAAAGGTAAACACAGACGATGATTCATCTAATAACCGTAGATTAAAATTTTCTCAACGGTGGATGTTGAAAGAGATGAGAAACCATTATATCTCGATCCGGCTAAAAAAGATGATTATTCATCCAATAACCGTCGATTAAACTTGAATCAACGGTGGATTTAAAAGTAGAAATAATACGAATTCGTTTTTATTTTTTTATATATATATATATATATATATATCCAGCAGGCTGTGACGACCCGCTAGTTTTGACCCAACCCCTTGCCAGTTTCCCTTGGGTTGGGGAGGTTAAGAAGACCAAGATTTAGCCCAAATAGGGTTAGGCCCAAGTTGACCCAAATGTATAGAGGTAGGTAGAGGTAGGTGGAGGTAGGTAGAGATATTTTAGGAATTCTTTGGAGTGTTCTAGAGAACCACTCCCAACCGTTAGATCAAATAGATCTTCACTGTCCATTGAGGAGGTGGACTTGTATAAATAGAGGTAGGATCCTCATTTGTAATCATCCAAGAAATCCAACAAGCACTCAAGCAATAAAATACTTTCCTACAAACTCTCTTGTCTTCTTAATTTCTTTCTTCGTTTCCATCACTTAGCATTCGCAACACATTCGGGAGAGGCTGGCTTAGCTATCGCGAGGGGCGGCTCACTTAGCTATCGCGAGGGGCGGCTCACTTAGCTATCGCGAGGGGCGAGGCGAGAAGGAGCTAAGGCCGCACGGTTCAGGCGAGAAGGAGCTAAGGCCGCACGGTTCGTTGTTAAGGGAACAAGTCCGTGACAAGGCGGCCGGAATCAAGCAGGCGGCCGGAATCCAGCAGAGAGCCGCCGCCGCCGGCAGGCGAAACTCTATTTTTCTCGATCTTATCGCCGGCGTCGGCAGCGCCTGGAGAATTTAGGGGCCGGAGATAAGAATCTGGTTTCTCAGTGGACAGAATGTCGGGGTGCAGCAAACACTTTGAAATCAAAGCATATTCCAATCGATTACATGAAGAAACTAGAGGCGGTCATAGCAATGAAACGTCAATATGGTTTTACGGGTGGTGTTACGGGTAAGGTCCTCTCCAACAAGGACGACTCGCCTGAGCTACAATGTCGTGAATTAATTTTAGTATTTGGGGGAAAATTGAGATAATTAGGGTTTCTTTCTTTTTCTTTTCTTTTCGGGATAATTACAGTTTTGGTCCCCTAAGTTTGCACGTTTTTCATTTTGGGTCCCCCATTTACCGCCGTCAACAAAATACACATTAATGTTGTCACATTTTAACACATTTAGTCCCTCCGTCTGTTTGACCGTTAAGTAGTAACGTCAACGGTTGAATTTGGGGTTTATCTTAGAGAAAATTACAATAAGACCCATGTATTCTTTCAAAATATTCTAAAAACTTCTAAAATTTTATCCAACCATAATTTAACCACAATTTCATCAATTAACCAATTTTGACCAATGACCCCGATTTTTCAAAATTGGGTAATCCGACCTTGACTTTCTTTTTAACTCGGTTGACTCTTTTTCCAATTGATCTTTTTTTTGCCGCTGTTAACCGATGTTGAATGTCGGGTTAACAACGTTGACATTTTTCTCTTGATTTTTATTTTATTTTTATTTAAATTGTTGAGTAATGGAAAAATATAATTTAAAAAAAAAAATCAAAGCTGATAATCGGCAAGAAAAAATATCATAAAAAAAGTCATAATAAAGAAAAAACGGAAAAGTCATCACATCTCAATAACGGAAAAATTTTAAGACAGAAAAAAAAGATAAAAATTAACGACAGGTGTTAGCCCCAAAAACCGTTGTACTAGAGTGGTTATCTCATTCCAAATTACTCCGCACATGGCTAATTCATCTTCTTCATATTTTTTTGGGAAATAAATTGGGATGCACTGGCGGTTCCACGAAAAAAAAAATTGAGGGGATCAAATATGGATTTTAGATTTTTTTTTAAATTGTAGTTAGGCCCTAGAATTTTAGATAAAAACTTTATTAGAAGTTTGTTATTTTAATATTATGATACTAGATATTAATATAGTATTATTATTGTGCTCTGCGGTAATTGTGTTGATCAGGAAAAAAAAGTCACAAGAAAAAAGTTCATAAAAAATCAAGAAAAAAAAAAAGTCAACATTGTTAACCTAGAATACAATGTCGGTGAACGGAGTCGGTTAACCTAGAATACAAAGTCAACATTGTTAACCTAGAATACAATGTCATAGTAAATAAAAAAGTTAATATCGGAAAAAAAAGTAAAAAAAAAAAGAAACAAAAAAACAACAACAACAACAACGTCGGTCAAGCGGAAATGCTGGTAAAAATTGGGGTCATTTGTCAAAATTGATTAAATGATGAAATTGGGGTTAAATTAGGGTTGAATAAAATTTTATGGGTTTTTAGAATATTTTAAAAGAATGCAGGGGTCTGAGTGCAATTTTTATCTATGAAAAATCCCAAATTCAGCGATAATTCAACAGTTGACCGTTACTTCATTACGGTCAAAGAGACAGAGGGACCAAATGTGTTAAAATATGACAACATTAGTGTGTATTTCGTTGACGACGGTAAATAGATGACCAAAAGTGGAAAATGTGCAAACTTAGGGGACCAAAACTGTAATTATCCCTTTCTTTTCCTTTTTTTTTTTTTTTTATTTTTATTTTTTGTTGATCAGTAGAATCCTGATTGGATCGGAGTTTATATGTTTCTTATCTACATTGTTTGAGTCCATTGATTCTGTATAATATACCCATATTTTAGTTTTCAATAAAATGGTTATTTTTCTGCATGCGTATATATAGTTAATATTCTGTAATTTAATATATATATATATATATATATATGTGTGTGTGTGTGTGTGTGTGTATCATGATGGTTATATCTTCTAAATTGGTAACTAATGCTTTTAGTGTAAATGGTAATCTTACTGATTTAACTTCTTGGTTGAAATTCTGGGAATTAAGTAGCTTGTTGCTCTTGGTTTAATTTACGCGCGCTTGCTCCGATACATTAATTATCAAGCCGCGGGGGGCTTACTCATATAATTTGACAACATACCGACCTATCGGAGCAGTGTATGTGTTGAAAAGGAGAATTACATGAAATCGATGCTTCGGTTTTAGTGTAAATCCACTCCAAAAATCTTTCTTTTTTTTGATGCATTTCGTGTAATCCTACACGAAATGCATTATAAAAAGACAAAAGTCGACAAAAACGTATTTTCTTTTACCTTAGAATCGGAATCGATTTCGGTGATATTGATAATGGTTGTGTTCTAATTGATATTATCGGAAAAGAATTAACGAGTTGAAAGTTTTACAATTTGGAGATTGGGAGAATTTGAAAAAAATATTATAGGGTTTATCAACAAATGAGTTAAATCGCACTGTAAATGAGAAAAAATGCACTATGAATAGTAAATCCTTATTATTACAAGTCCATAAAATTATATTTAAGAAATATTTTACGGCCCATTCAACTTGCTGCTTACCCGAGGCAATTCAAAGTTCAAACCCAACTTTATTGTTATATCCTGGGGAGCAACAAAACAACGTGGGCTAAGGAGTAAGGTGCAGGAGAAGCAGTTGAAGGGTATTCGGGAGAATTTGGGGCTGGAAGAGGTGAAGAACCCTAGAAATGGTAAAGGTGAAGTCTTGATGCAATCGGGAACAAAGGAATTGATTGAAGAGGGGAACAACGTCGTTTCGGGGGAACCACGTGGAACGGGCCGCAGCTGAAGAATTGGACTTAGCAGCCCATTTATGTTGCTTTTATTTTTAAATTGGGCCGTTTGTTTTTAGCCCGTCTGTTATGTTATTTTGTTTTAAGTCTTTTACTGGAAATACTGTTGTTGGGCTAGGGTACAATATTCCCTGACTTAGAGGGGTATTTATACCTTATTTTGGACCATGAAATGGATTATCAAGGAATTTCTCTAATCTTTCCTTTTCTACTCTCTTCTTCCCCAAGTTTTTCTATTCTCATCTCAATTCACTCAGTTACAACAAAATCACAATTATTATTACAATAATTATTACAAAATACTATAGCTAGGTCCTTGGATCTTGACAATTGGTAATCAGAGCAAGGGCTGATCTAAATGGCGGACGACACCAGACTGGAGGCACACCGGAAGCTACTGGAACAGAAGCTGCAAGAGGAAATGGACAAACGAGTGGCTGTGGAGACAAACCTGCAAGAGCAAATCAGTTTAAACCATGAGGAAACAAAGAAATCCTTTGAAATCATGCAGATTCAGCTGGGAAAAATAGCTGAAAGGATAGAAATGTATAACAGAGATAAATCAATTATGGGGGAAGGATCTACCTCAGGCACAATCCCAACCCCATACACTGCACAACCAGAGCATTTCACCAGACCTCAAACAGAACACAGAAATAATAGAGGGCAAGAAGTAATGGTAAACCCAAACCCTTTCTCTGGTAATTACACCCCTAACCCCAAGATTGATTTCCCCAGATTTGATGGTAGTAACCCTAGAACTTGGTTGTTTAAGTGTCAAGGGTATTTTCAGCTGGTTTCTAACATACCTGACACTCAAAAGGTAGTTCTAGCTGCCTTGCATTTTGAGGGTAGAGCAGCTATTTGGTATGGGCACATCTCACAGAATAATAGGGTTTATTCTTGGGATCAGTTTGTAGGGTTGGTTTCTGCTAGATTTGAAGATCTGAGGGAAGCTAAAGTGTTGGCTGAAATGGGCAAGTTGAAAGTTACAAACTCTTTAGAGGCTTATATTGATAAGTTTGAAGAACTTAGAGCCTATTTGCTGATGTTCAACACTAGGTCATATGATGATGAATTCTTTCTGACCTTCTTTGTCAGTGGACTGCCTGAAGAGAACCAGAAGTTCTTTGATCTGTTTGAACCTAAATCTTTTCAACATGCCATTGAAATGACTAGAAAACAGGAAGCTACTCTGGAGGCTGTTTCAAGGAGAGCTAAAGGAGGAATGAAGCAGATGATGCCATACCAGGGTCTACCAAGGAAGCTACAGCCAAATCCTGACCCAAATCAGAACCAGTTAACTAAGCCTAACTATACTCCTCCTGCTCTATTACCACCAAGGAGACTACTCACTAGAGAGGAAATGAAGGCCAGGAGAATGAAGGGCCTATGCTTTAACTGTGATGAACAGTATAGTCAGAATCACAAATGTAAGTTTAGCCAAATTTACATGATCATGACTGATGAAGAAGAGGAAGCTCATCTGCTCAGTATAGCTGAGGCAGAGAGTTTAGGGGAGGTTGGTTGTAATGGGGAGGTTTCCCTGAATGCTATTGAAGGTAACAGTGGTGTGAAGACCATTAAAGTTGTTGGGGAGGCAGAAGGGGGTCCCCTTAACATTCTTATTGACACAGGAAGCACCCACAGCTTTATCAGTGAAGTTCTGGCTAGTCAACTCCACTGCCATATTGACAACACTAATCCTATGGCAGTGACTATGGCCAATGGAACCAAGACAACCAGCAGGGAAATTGTTAATGGATTGGTATGGATGATGCAAGGGGAACCATTCACTTTTCCTTTGAGGTTGTTAACTCTCAAGGGGTTTCACATTGTTTTGGGGTGTGATTGGTTGTGGGAAAACAGCCCTGTGAAGTTTGACTACAAAAGGAGGTTTGTGAAACTCAAGAGAGGAGATCATAAAGTAGTAATTACTGCCAAAGAAGAATATGGTGATGGCAGTCTTTTGACTGTATGTTCTGAAATGAACAGAGAAACTGTTGGTTCCCCTAGCCTTAGTGGTCAATTCTGCACCATTCAGACCAACAGTGATCTCATGGAAGTGCCTGAGAACATTCAAGAGTTATTGGAGGAATATGCTGAGTTGTTTGTTGAGCCACAAGGGTTGCCACCAATAAGAGGGGTTGAGCATCAAATCATTCTTAAACCTGAGGCTATACCTAAACAACTATACCCTTACAGATATTCACACTCTGCCAAGGATGAGATAGAGAAAATTGTTGAAGAACTATTGGGGAGTGGGATTATTAGGCAGAGTCAAAGTCCTTTTGCATCTCCTGTGCTGTTGGTTAAGAAGAAGGACAATTCTTGGAGGATGTGTGTGGACTACAGGTACTTGAACACCATGACAGTTAAGCATGATTATCCTATTCCCATTATTGATGAGCTTTTGGATGAGCTCTATGGGGCTAAGTGGTTTTCAAAAATAGACCTGAGGTCTGGTTATTTTCAAATTAGGATGAAGGATGAAGATGTTTACAAAACAGCCTTCAAAACTCACCATGGGCACTTTGAATTTTTGGTTATGCCATTTGGGCTTTGTAATGCTCCAGCTACTTTTCAATCTCTCATGAATCAAGTGTTTTCAAGATACTTGAGAAAGTTTTTGTTGGTGTTTTTTGATGATATATTGGTGTACAGTTCTAGCTTGGAAGAGCATAAATAACACTTAGGCATCACTCTGGAAATCCTAAGAAACCACCATCTTTATGCTAAGCAGTCCAAGTGGCAGTTTGGGCAAACTAGCATAGAATACTTATGCCACATTATCAGTGCACAGGGGGTATCCACTGATCCCAGTAAGGTTCAAAGCATGTTGAATTGGCCTAAACCAACTACTGTGAAAGGGCTGAGAGGCTTCCTAGGGTTGACAGGGTACTACAGGAAGTTTATAAAAGGATATGGGATCCTGAGCAGGCCCCTTACTGATATGCTGAAGAAGGGAAATTTCAAATGGACTCAAGAATCTGAACTAGCATTTGCTCAGCTCAAGGAAGTGATGGCAACCTCCCCAGTTCTTGCCTTGCCTGACTTCACCAAACCATTCTTGGTGGAAACTGATGCCAGCTCCACTGGTTTGGGTGCAGTATTGATGCAAGATTCTAGGCCTATTGCATTTCTGAGTAAGGCTTTGAGCCCCACTCATCAAGCATTATCTATTTATGAAAGGGAATTTATGGCAGTCTTACTTGCTATTCAGAAGTGGAAGCACTATTTACAAGGCCACCATTTTATCATCAGGACAGATCAGCAAAGTATTAAATATATTGTGGAGCAGAAATTCACCACTGCCCTTCAACAGAGATGGATTGCTAAACTGATTGGCTTGGACTATGAAATACAGTACAAAAAGGGGGTGGAAAACAAAGTGGCTGATGCCCTGTCTAGACAGGAACATAACCTAGCTACTATTAGTGCCATATCTACAGTACAACCCAAATGGTTACTGGAGATTCTGGAGAGTTATAAGGGGGATGCTGAGGTTATGAAGATCACTGCAGCTAAGGCCATTGATGAGGCAGCTTATGCAGATTACAAGGTGGTACAAGGAGTTTTGAGGTTTAAAGGAAAGATCTATGTGGGCACACATACTGATCTTAGAGTTAAGTTATTAGAATTCTTCCACAACTCTGCAGTTGGTGGCCACTCTGGGATGCTGGGAACTTACCAGAGGCTGAAGAATAATTTTTATTGGCCTGGAATGAAGGCCAAGGTTATAGAGTGGGTGCAGAAATGTGATGTTTGTCACAGAGCCAAACATGAGAACACTCCTTATCCAGGGTTGTTGGAACCTCTGGAAATTCCTACAGGAGCTTGGACTCATGTTTCTATGGATTTTATTGAAGGTCTACCTAAGTCTGAGGGTAAAAATGTTATTTTGGTGGTTATTGATAGATTTACCAAGTATGCACATTTTTTGCCATTAGCTCACCCTTTTTGTGCAGCTACTGTGGCTAAACTATTTCTGGATAATATTTTTAAATTACATGGGCAGCCAGTTAGTTTAGTCACAGACAGAGATAAGGTTTTCACCAGCAATTTCTGGGGGGAATTATTTAAGCTGCTAGGAACTAAGCTAGCTATGAGTTCAGCATACCACCCTCAGAGTGATGGCCAGACAGAAAGATTGAACCAGTGCTTGGAAAACTATCTCAGATGCTGTACTAGCCAGCACCCTCATCGATGGATGAAGTGGCTCTCTCTAGCTGAGTACTGGTATAATACTAATTATCATACCAGTCTCAAGATGTCACCTTTCCAAGCACTGTATGGGTATTCTCCTAATTCCCTATCCTTAAGCCCTTACTTAGACACTATCAACCCTGAAGTTTCAAATTTGGTGCAACAACGTGTTGATGCCTGGGAGTTAATAAAGAAGAACCTCACCCAAGCTCAAGCTCGGATGAAGTGGTATGCAGATAAACAGAGGGTTGAAAGGTCTTTTGAAGTTGGAGACTTAGTTTATCTTAAACTACAACCCTATCGACAGAATTCAGTCATCACAAGAGCAAACCAAAAGCTGACCAACAAATACTATGGACCATACCCAGTAATTGCTAAAATTGGAAGAGCAGCTTACAAATTACTGTTACCTGAAGGTGCGAAGATCCATAATGTCTTCCATGTATCTTTGTTAAAGCGCACCGTGAAGCCCACTGCCACAATCGACAACCTTCCATCTGCAGCTACGGCTGAGCCACTGGAGTCTTCCATTTCTGACCAGGTTCTGGATTCTTGGGGACAAGAATCATCTCAAGGGGGGGGTAATGTTATATCCTGGGGAGCAACAAAACAACGTGGGCTAAGGAGTAAGGTGCAGGAGAAGCAGTTGAAGGGTATTCGGGAGAATTTGGGGCTGGAAGAGGTGAAGAACCCTAGAAATGGTAAAGGTGAAGTCTTGATGCAATCGGGAACAAAGGAATTGATTGAAGAGGGGAACGACGTCGTTTCGGGGGAACCACGTGGAACGGGCCGCAGCTGAAGAATTGGACTTAGCAGCCCATTTATGTTGCTTTTATTTTTAAATTGGGCCGTTTGTTTTTAGCCCGTCTGTTATGTTATTTTGTTTTAAGTCTTTTACTGGAAATACTGTTGTTGGGCTAGGGTACAATATTCCCTGACTTAGAGGGGTATTTATACCTTATTTTGGACCATGAAATGGATTATCAAGGAATTTCTCTAATCTTTCCTTTTCTACTCTCTTCTTCCCCAAGTCTTTCTATTCTCATCTCAATTCACTCAGTTACAACAAAATCACAATTATTATTACAATAATTATTACAAAATACTATAGCTAGGTCCTTGGATCTTGACATTTATTTATTTATTTATTTATGAAAATAACACAAACCACCACCTCTGTTCTTCCGACAGTAGCTTAGATTTGGGAGCTCATAGTACAGATCAGAGATTCAATCTCTATGGGTGGGAAGCGAGTCAGAATTCATACCAATTGTCAACCCAACAAGGTCATCTTTCGATTCGACATTTAATTACATAGTTTTTATATTTAATTGTTTCTTATATCATGTTATATGTTGTTGTTTGTCTGCTGAAACTAGATACGAAACGCCTAATTTCAACCCAATATTATTTTCAATTTTTGTCTCATGCTATCATAAAAAAAAAAAAACCCTAATTTTGGTGGTAAAGTAAATCCCTAATTTGATTTGCTGATATGATTATTCAATATCCGATATTGCTTTTACCCCTCCAGTTTGCAACACGATATCGTGTTTCGTGCAGATTATGCTAATTTAGTAGCAGGATTGCAAGTTTCCTCTTATTGAATTGTTGACTAGTTTCTAATATATTGTTTGACTGACAGTGTGCTAAGAGAAGTTTTGTGGGCAAAGATAATGATGATGATGATGATGATAGGATATGTCGGTTGCCCGATGACGTTCTCTTAGATATACTGTCTTTCTTGTCGCTCAAGGAAGCTGCACGCACTAGTGTTCTTTCGTCTCGTTGGATGAACCTGTGGAAACACACCCCGTCTCTCGATTTTGATGCTCAAGGTGTATTAGATAAGATACCTAAACATTGCAAGAGCGAAAAACGCAAGAGCGAAAAACGCAAGTTCGTGAAATGGGTGAACTCCGTTGTTCGAACCCACAAATCTCCCGCCTTGAAAGAATTCAAAATCCATTTCCCTTTAAAAAAATCGTCGAGAAAATCAATCACCCGATGGCTCGAATTCGCATTTTCCCGACGAGTTCAGAGGTTGGAATTGGACTTCGACAATTATCACAATCTTTACGAATTCCCTCAAGAGTTCCTCCTCGACGGAAGCATGCAACCTCCTTCAGACAGTGTTCGCATTGATCAACCTCCTCGTATGCTTTTCGACTTTAAGTCCCTCAAAGCACTGTCTCTTAAAAGCGTTCGTGTGAGTGACGGAGCTATCGAGTTCTTCTTACATAACTGCCCGCTACTCGAACAATTGATTGTCCATGAATCAATAAAACTATCAAGGCTTGAAATTTGCGGTTCGTCCCTCAAGTTAAAACACTTGGAGATAGTCTCTTGCAGGCGTTTGAAATCCCTTAAAGTTTCCGCACCAAGGTTTACTACACTTAACATTACGAGATCTAAGGGACTCTTACTCGAGAATGTTCCGTTGCTAGTTAACGCATGTGTCTCGTGTGGCGATGTCAGTATTTCGATAGAAAATGTATTTTCTGTACTGTCTTGCTGTGTTTCTCAATTGCAGACTCTTTCTTTGGATCTGAGCAGCATTGAAATCGGACGAGTATTGGATGAGATTTCCGAGCTTCCTCTACTGCCTATACTGAAGAAGTTGGTCATTAAATATTGTGCAAGAGGTCACGAAAGTCTTATTCGACTCACTGCTTTGTTAAGGGTATCTCCTTTCTTGGAGGAATTTTTCTTTCAGGTAACATTTCCTTTTTTTTTTTTTTTTTTTTTTAAATCAACATTCAATAAATTCTACCGGAAAACAAACCGGTTTGTATTAAATTGCAATAAATTCTCAGCTTTTGATCTCGTGTGCAGTTTCACTGGTATATACTTCCGAGGGAAGATAGACAAGTGAAGATTCCTATAAGTTCGCCCCACCATCATCTTAAAGTGTTTAAGTTCTGTGGCTATTATGGTAGCACGAACGATGTCGAATTAATTAGCTACATTCTGGAGAATTGTCCGGTTCTTGAGAAAATAATAATCGATCTCTTTTGTGTATCTTTCCCGGTACCACAAGTACCCCAACACGTTGAACTGGTTATTCTATAACTTAAGCCGTGCATGGATTGTTGTATTTTGTTTTTATTTATGAGTTCAAACTAACAATGTTAACTTCCTTTTTATTGGAATCTGTGGAATAGTTTTTTTTCTTCTGATTATTGAGTTAATTGTTTCCGGGCATGCATGCATAGTATAATTATCCAAAAAAATGGGCTTTTTCGGAATTTGTCTTACCTCGGAGAACAACCGTAATTTACCTTTTAATTTACTAACCACAACACAACTAGTGACTAAGACCAACTCCAATGGGGGTTATTAAATGGAGTGTAAAACCCGTCGCTACCATTTTAATAATTCAACATAGGAAATTTTCACTTCAATAGAGTTATCAAATGAGGTTCTATTTTGATATTTTATTTTTTGGAAGGTAAAAATACATTCGGGAGAAATAATACAAATTGGAAGTTACACAACTTAACCACCTAAGTGCAACTCCAATGGAGTTATTAAATGAGTTATCAAATCTCTCAACTACTATTTGAATCTTAAAATTTACAAATTTTGTTCTCCAAAAGAGTTATTAAAATGAGTTTGTATTTTGATATTTCACCTCTTTGAATCCAAAAATACTTTCTGCAGATTGAGTTATCAAAAAAATAACAACCTAACCAACCACTCACAAATTGACATGTGGCAATTACATACAAAATTATCAAAAAACTTCCAATTGATAGTAAAATTTGATTACCATGGAGTGGATGAGTTTTAAATGTATTTAAAAATATTATCACAAGTATCAAATGAGCATTTGATAATCCAATTTTGATATTTAGCATTAGAGTTGCTCTAAATAACCAATTAGAAAAATGACATGTGTTAATTAAAATATATAATCACATTATTTATTTTTAATTACCAACTATTTGATATCATGGTTGGAGCAAATGAATTTATTTAGGTATCAAACTAAAATATGAAATATCAAATAAATATTCAATAACTCATTTTAATATTTTTGGGTTTGGGTTGCTCTAATGAAGTTAATTTTACGGGTTGAGATGAGTGGGCCCAAACCTTTAACGAACTCACCTGAATATGGCCCACAAGAATTTAATTAATATTCAACATATAATTAATTGATTAATATTTAATTATTTGTTATTATTATTAGGGTGTTACTATTTGCAGCGGTACTTTTACTGAAATTGGCTTATTTGCAGCGGTAGCTTTTTCATTTTAATTTTTCCAACTTGCAAATTCTCTCTCCTACTCCCAAACACTCTCTAGAAATTTGAATTTCGTAAATTTTTTTCGACATTCAAACCGTACAAACGAGGCTCGATTCCGGTAAGTTTTCGATTTCCTACTACTTTTAATTAGTTTCAATTCCAATTTAGGTAAAAACACGTGTTTAAGAATAGATCTAGCAAATTTCGGAAAAAAAAATAAAAAAAATTGAAGCACCCGTTTTCTGCAGCACGGGAGTTCCAAATTATTTTTGAAATTTAAATTTTTCGAAAAAACAATTTATTTTTGTGTTTCCCGTGTTCTGGAGAACGGGCGATTGAAATTGTTTGAGTTTCCCGTTCTGCAGAACACGGGAACTTGAAAATTCTTCAAGTTCCCGTGTTCTGCAGAACGGGAAATTCAAACTATTTTTTTTTTTTTTTTTTTTTTTAATTATTTTATTTAATTTGTTTTTTAATCTTTTACAGATGGCACGTCAGGACAAGGGGAAAGGGCTTATGGGTTCTTCTTCGAGTTCGGATAAAATTCCGAAGATTAAATTTCGGTATGGCGGGCAAGGCGCGACTGAAGCCGAGGCGGAAGCGGAGCGCATTCGTATGACTGCATCTCATCGTCGTAGGAGAGTTATGGAGCGCGACACTGGTTTACCGGTCGTGGACGAGATTCCCCACATAGATCAGAGTTCTAGATCTATGGCGGGTAGCATTCGATCTGTAGGGGCAGATTCTGGTATCCCCTACGAGGGACACGAGGAGGAGCATGACCATGTTGAGAGCGATTATGATGATGTTCCCGTCCCGGCCGCGCGCGCACGGAAGTCTCGGTACGAGTTTGACACTTTCAGTGGCCCACTTGAGTTACATGGTCCGGCTCCAGGAGGACCGACTGATTGGAGGATGATTCCTAGTTTTAAGAGTCATATTGCCTACTACATTTGGGCAGGACATGTAAGTTTAAATATATTTATTTTTATATATTTTAAATATATTTATTTTAATATATTTTGTCTGATTAAATTAGAAATTCTACAGGAGCGCAGCGTGGGGCGATGTGAGTCAAGGATTACTGCGCTTAATGCTTTTAGGAAACATGAGTTGAAGCAACTCATGGCTCCTTACGGGCAGGATGAGTTAGAGCTACTGGAGGCATCTGGCCTAGACTCACTCGAGTACTTCTACATTAAAAATGTAGACAAGGGACTCATGGGGGCATTTATAGAGAGGTGGCAGCCGGAAACGAACAGTTTCCACATGCCTTGGGGTGAGATGACGATCACCCTACATGATGTCCATTTGATTTTGGGGTTGCGTGTTGACGGTTTAGCGGTGCACGGTGATTCTGTTGAGGAGAGGCCTATGAGTGAGTTGTTGCTAGCTGAGGTTCTTGATTTGGACATGGTCGAGGCGCATGCCAAGCTCGGCAATAGTGGGATAAAATGGTCGGAGTTTGTGGAGCGTGTGCGTAGTTGGTCCCGAACTTGTCGGCAGAAGGTGGTAGGATATTTGACGTTTTTGATCGGTATGGCTTTGTTCCCCGACCGGAGTGTAGACAGGTTCAAGCCAACGTGGATGAGATATTCTTCCGATCTCGAGCACGTCGGCGAGTATGCTTGGGGTGCAGCGGTATTGGCTCATTTATACCGACAGTTGGGCTTGGCTAGTAGGGCCCACGTGAAGGGGTTAGCGGGTTGCACGTTACTGCTACAGGTATTTAAGTTAAATTTTAATATAATATATTATTATAATGAGTATAACGTAGGTAGTATTAATTTAATATAATATATTGTGATTTAAGATAATATTAATCTAATATAGTCTCGTTTATTTGTAGTGCTGGATTTACGAGTACTTTCGCCCTTTCCGAGCACCTATTAATTCGGATTATAGGGAGATGCAGCCTCGTTTCCTGAAATGGAAACCACGCAAGGGTATTTCGGACTTGCTCTCGGTCCGAAGGATGCTTGATGATATGCAGTCCGATCAGGTATGTATTTTAATTGTTGCAGTTATTTATTATTAATTATTATGTAAATGTAATTTTTATTACGTTAATATAATTTTCCAGATTGACTGGATGCCTTACGGGCCTCACGTACATAGACGCGTTCCGCGTACATTATATTATGGGTGCATACAGTTTATGGAGATTGTCGAGCCATATTTACCGGATCGCGTCCTTCGGCAGTTTGGCTTCAGACAGACCGTTCCGCAGTGCTACATCCAGTCCAGAGAGCCGTGCCTACGTGGTCCGCTTGGAGGACAGACGTACCAGGTACGGTATGATCCTCCAGTGCAGGAGTGGATGGACCTGGCTACCAGCTCGATTACGATGGACGGTAGGACATTAGCCTGGCCGCCGTCTGAGACTGCCACTCGGTACATGGAGTGGTACGTTCCTCGTACTCATCAGTACGTGATCAACCGGGATCCAGCGCCAGAACGACCACCGCCAGTCGTACGCCCCCCTCCTATTCAGCCGGACTTTTATGACATTGTGCGTATCATCCATCCGCACATGCACGAGATACCCCAGCATCTACGTGTCCAGTTACAGCCTCGTGTGGAGCCACATGCACGTTTTCTAGGTTTAGCCCCCACTGGAGATTCCGACGACCACTAGGCCAAAATGGTCGACTGGCGACGAAATTTGGCGACGAAAATGTATATTTGGCGACGATTTTTTACTGGTGGCGACGAATATTTTTCGTCGCCAAATCGTACAGAAAACGTCGCCAAACGCCCCGTCGCAAGATCTGCGACGAAAAAGCATTTGCGTCGCAACGTTTGGCGACGAATTGCTTAAATCGTCGCAAGATTCGTATTTTCTGAAAAAAAATGTTTTTTTAATGTTCGCGACGGATCCTACACTTTCGTCGCTTCCCAGTTGCGACGAACAATTAATAAGTCGCAACTTTTTGCGACGAATTCTATGTTCGTCGCTAGAGTAAGCGACGTTTTGTGACGATTTCGTCGCTACGTTTCGAAAATGTTTGCGACTAATAGCCGTTTTCGTCGCAAGACCCACGAGTTATTTGCGACGATTTGTTATATTTATTCGTCGCTAGTTACTACAGTTTCTGTTTGCGACTATTTTTTATTTTAGTCGCAAGTTTTTTTTTTATATATATATAAATTCTGGTTTATTTATTTTTTTCAATTAACAAATTCAAGCTGTATTCAGTTCACCATCTGTACAAAAAAAAAGACTTATATCAAAAATATTAAAACCAATTATAAGGATTAAATATCAAGGTTGCACAAAACATAAATTATAAAAGTACATAAAAACTTAAAAGCATATAATGTAGTGTTTCAAACTTTAATTCAAAAACCAAACAAAGTTCATCCCTTTTTATACTCCACCATCATTGGAAGGAGTCGATGTCGAGGCTTGTAGTCCAAAACGGCTGACCAAGGTGTTCACAATTTCTCGGGTTTCTTTCAATTCCGCTTCCAATCTTTCCATTTTTTCATCTTTAAGTTGCATTTGCTCTTTCATTGAATTCATTTCCATTTGCACTTCCGGCGGAATTGAAGAAAATCTCGACTTTGAACTCTTTGTGGTGGTTGCAATCTTAATTCCAAGCCCATCTCGTGTATGAATCTTCCCTTCTTCGTATACGTAACTCCTGCAATATAATATATTTTTCTTTAATACTAGCAACAAAATCTAGAAATAAAAACAGTAATATGCTAAAAATGGCTTTTGTCTGATATATAGTAAATGAAGCTACTAATCAATCAGTAAATGATATATAGTCATTAGAAAAATTGAACAGGCAATCAATTCACAGCTTTACCAACAAATACTCTAAATTACTACTTCAGCCTAATTAATAATTAATTTTGGGTGCTGAGACGACTCCCACTATGTTGAGTTAAACTTCATCCAGGAGAATTATAAGGCAATTAACATTATACTTAATTAGCTCCAGCTAGCAGATTAAGTAACTGAAAATAAATTCAATTTACACACACACACAAACATTTAATTTCCAGGTAATTGGAAAAAACACATGAAAACATATAAGATCATAATAAAGCTTCGTCCTTTCAACCAAGAAAAAAAGGTACAATGCACAGACACCCACACACACACACACAAACACACGCCGCAAAAAAAAAAGAGTCGACTTTAAATTCAATAACTTCGAGTAAAACATGTTTCCAATAACCAGAAAGTTTCAACCCATGGATGCAAAATATAACCGACAATAAGGTGGCTACAGCTTAGTAAACCAAGCAAAAGGGAGATCTAAATTCAAGATTACTCGATAGATATCAAACCTTTAGATGGGCTGCAGCTTTGTCCTTGTCAGTGAACACTCCAGTTAACTCGACAATTTATTCGGCACCAGTTTCACCCCATGGAATCTCTTATGGGTTCCTTTTAATACCATCAAAGTTGAATAGGTCAACAATTAATACATTATAAATGATAACATAGAAATTGAGGATATATGATGCCAGGCTTGTGGGCAAAGAGAAAGGCTGTACCTAAAGCCGAAAACAGTCACAGGCTTCTTGCCAAAGAGAAGGGTCTTCTCATCCTTAACCGTGAGCTCGTCGTGCTTCCATTGACCGTGGACGCTGTCATATTTGAACATGTAGGTCTGCAGAAATAGAAACACAAACACTAAAAAAAATCTCTGAGAATGTCGAAACACATAGGGCAGAGCTAAACCAAGAAAAAATAACTCTACTAACATGGGCAGACACACATACCAAACATAGCCAACACGAGAATCCGTTCATGATTAAATAATTGTATGATTAAATAATTGTTTGGGTGTGGGAGGGAAGAATTTGGTTGTTCACTATGAAAATTATAGAAATGCTACTTCATCTGAATAAATAAAAAATACATTTGGTGCTTTTAGATGGATTAGCAAATCGAACCAAGCAAGTCCGTAAAAGACGAAAACATTAAAAAATCAGCAAGAGTTATAATTTGGTTATGCAAAACCGACTGATCATCCCAAACTCATAAATTTCCTTTTTTCTTTTCCAATTTTGAAAAATATCCAAAAATAAAAAAAATAAGCAAGTACACCAGCGATAAAGCCAACTGAGACCACCGCATTCGTAAGGCTAACTCACAATTCTAATGTGTGCAAGAAATTAACTCCTACCGATCAAAGTTCAACATCGAAACATTTCTACTGCACATAATAACACTAACAAACACACCATAACTATTTCACCTCAAAATTCAAAACCCAATCAATCACAATTCATACATGATAAATACAGCAAGAGACCAAATTTAAAGCAGAAAAAAAAATGGCCCACAAAGAGAAGACGAGGCAACGCACCATGTAGTCAACGGTAATGAAGGGATCGTTGCCTGCAACAAGCTCGACATCGTCTCTTTGAAGAGCAACCCTAGCCACCAATTGCCCAATTCTTCCAAATCCTTCATACAATAAGCAAATTCTAAGTAATAAAAAACAATCGATTCCGATCTTAATTAACGTTATGAGTTGAGTTCAGATCTAGTACCATTGATTCCGATCTTAATTAACGTTGTGTGTGTGTGTGTGTGTGAAATGCTTACTTTGACAGTTGGCTTGGATTTGGATGAGAATTCAGAGGAAAGTAGGAGAATTCAGAGGAAAGTAGCGGCGGACGGCGGACGGCGGAGAGATGGGCGGACGGCGGAGAGCAGCGGCGGAGAGATGGGCTGACGGTGGATAGATGGGCGGAGGAGAGCAGCGGCGGACGGCGGACGGCGAGAGCAGCGGCAGCGGCGGACTGCGGCGGCGGAGGGGAAGATTGAAACGAGAAGAAAATCGAAGATAATGGGAAACGGGCATTAGGGCCTGCCTTTTAATTAAATTATATGCGACGATTCCTAACACATCGTCGCCAACTCAAATTTAAACGAATCTTGTAGCGACGTTTTCAACTTTTTCGTCGCCAATCAAAAAAAAAAATAGCCTTGCGACGTTTTTGTTACAGAAACGTCGCTACAGAAAAGCGGGAATTTTTCTATAATGATTTTGCTATTATATTTGCGACGAATACGATATTGTCGTCGCTACTAATAAATATTATTTAATATTTCCTCTTTATTACGCTACGTTATTCTTATTCGTCGCCAACTCAATAAAATGTTTTTTTTTTCACAATTGCCTAGCGACGAATACGTAATATTCGTCGCGAAAGTAAAAAAATAAATTGCAAAAAATATTTTTCATGCGTCGTTTATATAAAAACGTAGCTACGAAAGTGCTTTATTATTTTTTTTCCCCTTTGCGACGTTTTATTGACATTAGTCGCATCATGGCGACGATTACGGTTATCGTCGCGAGATATTCCATCGAAATCTTATTTTTCCGATATCTTGCGACGTTTTTTAGTCAAAATGGTCGCAAACTAGCGACGATTCCGGAATCGTCGCCAAAAAAAACGTCGCAAGTGAGCTGTTTTGGCCTAGTGGACGACGACTTTATGGAGATGCCACCACCGCGTCGGCGACCGGGTGGGACGAGTGGCACTTCGAGGAGGTCTAGGGGTAGACAGTAGACGGCTTTTGTTTGACATTTATTTGTTTTTTCTGACATTTGGGTATGTTTTGTATTTGTTTGACATTTATTTGTTTTTTCTGACATTTGGCTATGTTTTGTATTTGTTTGACATTTATGTTATTTTTGTTTGACTATTTTATTTATGGTATTTCCATCTAAAATAATACAAGGTCCAAACATACAAACTACATCTAAAATAATACAAGGTCCAAACATACAAACTAAAATAAAATAATACAAGGTCCAAATACATACCAACTAAAATAAAATAATACGAGGTCCAAATACATACCAACTAAAATAAAATAATACAAGGTCCAAAATACATACCAACTAAAATAAAATAATACAAGGTCCAAAATACATACGAACTAAAATAAAATGCCTATCCCAACCTAGATAAACGACGCCACATGTATAGGCGTTCTTCGAACATTTCCGACAAGTGGGCAAGATTTGCGGCTCTAACATGTCGCCACTGTGGAGTGATAGGTGGTAGAGGACAATTAACCGGTAACTGGATAAGGACAAAATGGTCTACTAACAACACCATATGGATCATATGGGATAATTCACCCGGACCAACTAGAGGTAAGTAGGTTATATTTCCGCCAATGGCGTATAAAACCAGAGCCGCATTGTATTTAGTCGCTATCGACATTCCCATATCCGGAAATGACATCCATTTGTCCCGACTGCACGGTCCTTCTTGCCAATCGCATTTTTCTATCCATCGGATCACTTCATCTTGACCATTTTGCGATGCGTACGTACCAAAATGCTCGTACATATCGGCAATCAAATCTCTCCTTACACGACTCCATTTGTTCTGATCTCGGAACACTGCTTCTGCAACACATCTGTACCCACAATTTCCATCTGCTACAACATTAACATACGACACAATAGATCCTGCCACAAAACCTGGGATGTAAGATCTGAAATTGAGCTCATCGCCCGGTTCCTTTCGAGGCATTGGCGTACGATTCTGATTGGCAGTGGATTCATCACTTGATCTACCACTCCCTCGACCCCGCCCCCGTCCACGACCAGAACCGGGATCGGTTACATTCGATGGTGGGGTTCCGGTAGAAGTATTTTTTCGACCCTTAGAACCTGCAGACGATTTACCCTTTTCTTCACCAGTAGACGGCTTCCGCTGGAATGGTGGGAACTCCCAACCGGATTTATCTCTCTTCGTCGGTTTATCCTTTGGCCTTCCTTTCGGTATAACATATGCAGGCTCTGCCAAGTGGATGGTGTCTGGATGAATAGTGCTATTCATGTAATCAGCAGTCATCTTTTGAGTCATATAATCTTTTTCTAACACTTCCGTGGCTAGTCTGATTATTCGGTCTCTCATATTTGTTTCACGATCCCTCTGTGCTTCGGGTATTTCTGGTTCTTCAACGTGCATGGTACTCCAAAATGGATGTAGATCCATAGATATAAATGTCTCACGTTGCTGGATTTTCAACGCAATTCGGCATGCACAAGGAAGTGCATGACTATCCCACAAAACGTGATCACAAAGAGATGGGTCTTGAAACCCCGGTTTTTTTAGCTCATCATCAAGCAAATTTAATGCTTTATGTGTGACTTTGCATATCAAACCCTGAAATACCGGATACGATGATGAGTGCAGCCGGATCAAACTGCATTTTGAAAACTCACCCTTGATCTTGGTTAGTTGATACTCAACCCCGGAGTCGAGCTGATATTGAATGGTGTTCACACCACCGGTAGAAGCATTAATCCAACCCTTCGACGATTTATGAGCACTTTCCACCCTGTTAATAGCCATTAAAATAACAATTAATAAATAAAAGCGCCCACAATATAATATAAAATACAAGACGATAATGAAACCCAACATACCTAGATGTCGAAGTGTTCCCAAAATGCAAAATCTTATTAGTCCATGCTTTGACGAATTTGTGCTTGTAAATTAGCCAAGTATCGTTAAGGTATGATATCAATTTGGGGTAACAACCATAGCGTCTAACCATTTCCTCGTAATTATCATTGTATTCTTCTTCTGTTTTTGATTCCACTAATTTTGCCCAATGTATGCGCCGAAATATAAGCCCGTGTTTAGTACTACCAATAAATCTCGATGCATTTTTTTCCACGTTTCTATTGATGTGAAACAAACACAAGAAATGAGCGGAATCTGGAAATGTTACGGGCATTGCTTTGATAAGTCCCAATTCACGATCCGTCAATATCACATTAGGTACCAGCCCCCCCAATGCACATTTCAAACAACGCAAAGCCCATTCGTATGTGTTTGCATCTTCATGTGACATGAAAGCAACAGCAATTGTAAAGTTCATACCAACAGGAGTGATTCCAATTATTTCCAAAAGTGGCATCTCATACCTACGTAAATACATAAATATCAAATGCAATCAAGCAATGTAAAATAACACAATAATAAATACTAATTAACAACATACCTATTGGTTTTGTAAGTGCAGTCCATCAATATGACGTGAGAGAATAACCGCAAAAGATTCAACGAAATAGGAGCAGCGAACATCAAATCAGTAAGTGTATCATCACCTTCATTACTTCGATACCAATATTCATATCCAGATTCTTGAAGGTTCGACATCACGTGTTGTATCACAGTCTTCCCCGCCATATTCTCTTTTTTCATCTTCTCAAGTTGGTTGTAGACATGTTTCACACTCGTTGATGTCTGTGGATTATCCTTTCTCAATCGATCCATAATTAATGCCGGCTTCACGTGGCTCCTTCTAAGTAATTTCACTACCTCGTATTCTTCTGGTGTCAAACGACTATCCGGTCCTTGTCCGGTAGGATACGGTAGTGTCGGGTGAGTGTGAGTGCCACTTTTTAAATTCATTCGCCATAGTCCATCGTTTGAATTTTTGCTACAGTATATACGAAAAGGACATCCACATTTTTTTGTTCCCACATTCCGTGGTATCGCACCTACGGTTCGTTTCTCACGTCCCTCCCCAGACAAATGACATCTAATTACTACATACACGTTTTTCTTGCTTGAAGTTACTATCAATCGATGACCATGAGTAGCAGCCATTTTTTTTGCCCATTCCACTAATTCTTTCCCAGTTTCAAACTCAAGATCTACATTGAAATGTTGACTGTGATCCTCAGAAGTTGTTGGTGTGTCTTGAGGAACATCGTAACACATGTCGGGATCCTCGTACTCGTTGTACGCTTTGTCACGATTAGTTGTAAACTCATCGTCAAAATCACCTTCAGTACCCTATTAAGATATAACAAGTAATAATTAGTATATAAGTAACAATATTAAAAAAAAAAAAAAAAAAATTTTTATTACGGGTTCCCGTCCCGGCGGGCACGGTGGTGCAATGCTCCCGTGCCGGAGGGCACGGTGGTGCCCTACTCCCGTCCGCCAGGACACGGGAGACTCAAACCCCCGTTCTCTAAGGCACGGGAGCACGATGTTCCCGTGCTCCCCAAGACGGGGACCTGAAATTGTTTTTTTTTTTTTTTTTTTTTGATTCTCCCGTGCTGTACAGCACGGGAATCCCTAATTTTTGGGATTCTCGTGCTACACAGCACGGTAACCCGACGAAAAACAAAAAAAAACCGCTACTTTCTTCGATTTACCTCGTAAAACTCGTTGGAATCGGCCATAGTGTTATATGTTGTCGTCGGGCAGTCGATTCATCAAATAATCACGAAAATCTTAATTCTCGACTTTTTTTAGTTGAGAGCGTTTTCAGTTTTCCAAAAAGTTTGAAAAGTTGAAATGAAAAGGTACCGCTGCAAATAAGCCAATTTCAGTAAAAGTCCCGCTACAATTAGCATTTCAGTAATTACATATGTTAGCAATTCTCTAAATATTATTACTATTTTTCTTCTAATTATATATTTATAAATAAAATCCAAAAAATATATATTTAAGAAAAAAACACTCATGATCATGTAATAATTAAAATATGGAACTCAAAGTCACCTTATTTATTTAATAAATAAACAAACTGATAACTCTTAATACTCCACGTAACGTTCCATTTGTCGATTGATTAAGCACTCTGGTCATTAGGTGTGTTTGATGAAATATTTGTACGAGGCCAACAACTTCTTAACCATTCGCACTAAAATCGTGTGATTATTCAATAATGTGACATGACACCATGTGAATGGATTTTAACAATACTTATTATGAAATAAATCGAAATATCAAATCCAATATTTACAATTATTTTCAATTTTCGTATTAGTAAACGGGCCCTTAGTTAGTTCATATGGATGGATAATTGGGCTGAATATCTTATTTAATTTGTGACATTACTTTTAGGCCCAGCTTATTGATCTGGCCCAGTTATAAATGCTCAATTTTTAGGACAATTGGATCATACATCAAAAAAATTCTACTCCCCATAATATACTTAAAGACGGTCAAACTTATGACAGTGTAGAGGATAAATTACGGTCATCACCTGAGATAGTGTCAAATTACCCAAAAATTCTTCTGTTTTGATAATTGTAATCACTCTTCAACTCTGAAAGTTTCTTACACGTTCATTCTTGCGGTGTCAAATTTAGTGGAATATTCTTCAGTTTGTACTCGTTTTACTCCATCCGAGCTCCACATTTTAAAATAAGATGACCATAAGATGTTTTCCTTGGCTTGTAAATATCAGATTGTGGTGCATCAGAAACTGCATTTTTACAAGAAAAAAAAGGAGTACAAACTAGAGAACATGCGGAATCTGGAAGATTACGCTGAATTTGACATCATAAGGGTGGACGTGTAAGAAAATTCATAGTTGAGGTGAGGGATTGTAAATACCCAAATCTAAGGGGAGTTTTCGTAATTTCACTTTATCTCAGGGAGGTGACCGTAATTTTTTTTAAAAAAAGGAGAATCTATGGTATGTAAAAATGATTCGAAAAATAAAATTTAATGGATTTGATAAAGTAATTAAGTTGCATATTAGTGCTAAATCAATTTAAATTATATTTATTCCCTTGAAAAGAATATGGTTTCGCGGGAACTACTTTTTTGTTTTGGTTAATGTTCGCACGTAATATGCTCGTGCAAGAAACGTGTCTTTCACTACCCAAAAGACGCGTTTCTCGTTTTATTATATTTGCTTTTGCTTTTCTTATTTATTTATTTATTTTTAATTTAATTTTCTTTCTGTTGCAACTGCCGGAAATATGGAAAGGAAACACTAACTAACTAACAACATTCAATAGGTGTCCTTTTATGCAAATGGAGCATCTCAAATAGGATCTAATTAGTTTATCCTCACGAGCTATACCCATGTTTTAATTAAACTAACATCAATATTACTCAACGTAATTGTACGATAGTAGATTTATTCAGCGCATGTATATATATGCGGCATAATATTTAATCAGGGCAGCAAGTACACCAAGTCGATCCCAAACGAAATCTAATCGAACCACTAATTAAGAGACAATTACAAGAAACTTATGCACGAGAATGAAGAAAGCACACGTTACACGATGCGACAATGAGTTTAAAACGTTCTTACTACGCCATCCCTTTCTTTCTAATTCTCTTTTAAATGACCTTTATTTTAGTAATAAAATTCAAAATTACCCTTTTATAGGAGATTTTCTTCATACGCCTGCAAATTTTAAAAATTATTAAAGATTTTTGTGAATGGGGGCAAATTTTAACTTTTAAATCCGGGCCCCTTTAACTCATGTCTTGTTTTAATCAAATCATTGTCTTTAATTCAATAACAACATATGTTTGCATTTAGTTAATACTATATTACCAAAAAGAAAAAAAAAGAGGCAAAAATGATTCCCTTTATCCAAAAAAGTAAAGCTAATGATATAAAAGCACAATATGACAAGAAGATGGTGACAGATGGAATCTTTCTTCCTACTCCAAAATATAAAAGGGATTTGGATAAATTACAATAACACTCTAAGGTAACATCTAATTAATTATGAGCACTTCTGAAACTAACATGTTGCAAAATACTCTAACAAATTAACATAGTAATATGTCTAAGATATTAAAATAATAAATAAAAGTGAAAAAATGTCATAAATTAAAATTTCTGATTTTCTTATATTTGGACCCTCGTGCAATGTAAAATCTTACACATAACCCCTTTTGACACAAAAATGAGACTAGTTAATGGTAAACGAAAAAAGTTTAGAAAGCAAAATTATATACATAAAAGAAATAAAATTGGTTTACAAACCATACAACTAGAGTCCTAAGGATATTTACAAAATGGATATTTCATGGAATCTATTTGATTCCATTATGGTTAACTCTGGCAAAATAAATTTATTAGATAGAGTATAATACCTCACGGGTGTTCGTAATTATACAAACAATGAGATTTTTTTATTTTTTTTGGTAATTACACCTTACCTCATGCAGAACACGAAAGCTGTACAATAACTAGGGAGTATTATGCAAATATTTCTAAGTCGTGGTCTTAATTAATATTATAATAAGGAATTAATATAGAAATCATATTTATTAGGTGGATTGAAGAGGTAAATCATAATTAAATGTAGGAAGACACGTTCTAAATATTAATTTTATAATAAATGGAAATATTCCATGAAAATAAATAAAAATAATAAAAAAACACAGTAGATAGAACTAAAAGTCAGCTTCTTCTTGCCTGTTTCCGATATCGCACCAGTTGCCATTTCATAACAGAAAAAAATTGCTTCTTCTTCTTCGTTTGTTGGTTTGCTGATTCCTTTTGAAGAATTCAACCACCTGCAACCGCTGACCTAGTTCCCAATCCAGACGACTTTTCTCGTAATTGATGATTGTAATTTATATTTCGATAAATTCCACTCGAGAAACCCTCACAGTTTCTCTCTCTAATTAAAATCCCCAATTTTTTCTACCGATTCGAATTTCCGATTTAATTTCTAGGGTTTTGAGTTCATTTAGGTCAGCAGATATGGGGATGTGCTTTAGCCATCAGAGAAACGGGAAACCGAAAGCCGCCGCCAACGGGGAGCACCCCTCGTCGGCGAACGGCGGCGGCGGCCAGCAAAACCTAATTCAGTACACAATGTCACCTGGATACGCAGCTCAATTGCCGCACGTAATCGCTCCGGGGAGTCCGTTGCCGCCGGTCCACAAGGCGAACACGATCCTCGGGAAGCCGTACGAGGACATCAAAATCCACTACACGCTCGGGCGGGAGCTCGGCCGCGGGCAATTCGGCGTCACCCACCTCTGCACTGACATCGCCACCGGCCAGGAGTACGCCTGCAAGTCGATTTCGAAGAAGAAGCTTGTGACGAGGAGCGATAAGGAGGATATGAGGAGGGAGATTCAGCTGATGCAGCACTTGAGCGGTCAGCCGAATATTGTGGAGTTTAAGGGCGCGTATGAGGATAAGCATTCCGTGCATCTCGTGATGGAGCTGTGCGCCGGCGGGGAGCTGTTTGACCGGATAATTGCAAAGGGGCAGTACAGCGAGAAGGCGGCGGCGGCGATGTGCCGGAGCATAGTCAACGTTGTTCACATTTGCCACTTTATGGGCGTGATTCACCGTGATCTCAAGCCTGAGAATTTTTTGTTGTCGGACAAGAGTGAACACGCTCTCCTCAAAGCAACTGATTTCGGATTATCAGTTTTCATCGAAGAAGGTAAATTTAATTTAATTTTTTTTATTAATTTTAATTATAAAAATTGCAAATAAAATTTCTTGATAAATCTGATAATTAAAAAAAAAAAAAGAAAAAAAAAGAGAATTGTATGAAGATTAACTTGATCCTTGGGTTGCAGATGCATAAATTTATTTCTGAATGGAAATAAGGTGAACAGTAAAGAATGATATATCATGCCCTTGTAAGAAGAAAAAAATTATGAATAGCCCGTTTAAAATTTAAATAGTATATGTGATGCAGGATCTTAGAGAACGTAAAGCTATAATTTCCAAGTTGTATAAATTTCAGTTCACCATATTCAGACAGAGTTTCTGTTAGATGTTAAACTCGAGTGTTGACCGTAAAATTTGATTACAATATGCAGGGAAGGTATACAAGGATGTAGTTGGCAGTGCTTATTATGTTGCTCCTGAAGTTTTGCGTCGGAAATACGGAAAGGAGGTTGATATTTGGAGTGCTGGAGTCATGCTGTACATATTACTCAGCGGTGTACCTCCTTTTTGGGCCGGTAAATTCCATCTCCCTCTCTCTTTCTCTCTGAATTGCTAAATTTCTTATAATTAACAGCCGAGGATAAAATTTAATTGCAGAGAATGAGCGAGGAATATTTGATGCTGTATTAAAAGGACATGTGGATTTCGAGAGTGAACCTTGGCCATCGATATCAGATAGTGCTAAGGACATTGTGTCTAAAATGCTTACGCAGGACCCAAAGAAACGTATTACAGCTGCCGAAGTTCTTGGTAAATATATATAATAATTTTTTTTCTCTTTAAATTCCTTTATCTCGAAAGTTTTGTTCTTTACTCGTTTCTTTCGGTGGCATCGTATTTGGTGTTTCTTTCTTCCTGACTGAGAACTATCTTATGTGGATAAATTAATAATTCTGCAGATAATAATAAAAATCTTTTATATTTTTTAACTTGATAATAGAGCATCCGTGGATTAAAGGGGGTGAAGCATCTGATAAACCGATAGACAGCGCAGTTCTCTCTAGGATGAAGCAATTCCGAGCAATGAACAAGCTTAAAAAACTTGCGCTCAAGGTAAATTTGGTTTATCACTTTATATATGATATTGTCGTTTCTCGTTAATTTTTGGCAGTATCTTACAGTTTTTGACAAGTAAAGTAACAGTAATGTTTCTCGTGTTTCTATAATCCGATTGTATAGGTAATAGCAGAAAATCTATCGAAAGAAGAAATTCAAGGGCTGAAAGCAATGTTTACAAACATGGATACCGACAAAAGTGGCACCATTACTTACGAAGAACTTAAAGATGGTTTGGCTAGGCTTGGATCTAAACTCTCCGAGACTGAAGTCAGGCAACTCATGGATGCTGTAAGATGCATATACATATACATATACATATGCATATACATATATTGTATAACATGAAGTAGACTTCTCTTCTGTGAGTGCTTCTGGTGCTTAAAATCTTTATTACATTGACAGGCTGACGTGGATGGAGATGGGACAATAGACTACATTGAGTTTATTACAGCTACAATGCACAGACACAGATTAGAAAGGGAGGAAAATCTCTACAAAGCTTTCCAATATTTCGATAAAGATAGTAGCGGGTATGGACCGATTGATTCAACTCTTTTGATGATTATTTATTTCATATAAACTAATTATTTTTATCGAAAATATGTTAAACTTTTTTCAATGCTACAGCTTCATAACAAGAGATGAACTCGAAGCTGCTATGCAAGAACACAATGTGGGTGACCAATCAACCATTAAAGATATCATCGCTGAAGTCGACACCGATAATGTGAGTGTTTCTTTTCTTCTTTTTTTTTTCTTTCTTTAATACGTAGATCAGAATGTAGTTTTATTTATTTATCAATTTGTGATGAATCGACCTTTTTTTTCCAGGATGGAAGAATTAACTATGAAGAGTTCTGTAACATGATGAGAACCGGATCAACACAACAGCAAGGCAATCTATTGACAACCTAATAACCTGCGTGAAGAATCGTCTGCCAGAAATTGTGCCATATGTTTGCATGTTTCGATTTTGTTTTCATATTTATTTATGATTTTTTTTTTGTATTCATTTATTACACAAGAAAGGGATGTACACATACTCGTTACAATATATTGGCTTCATTACACTGTGTAAACACGAAACTAACAGTTCCGAACTAAAAGCTTACGATTATTGATCAATTCACACAAGTTTACCAATAAATAAATTACTTATTAACGATTCCTTAAGTGAATTAGAAACCGTGAATCTTGATCTGATCCTTGTTGACAATACGAGCAGAGAGCAAAAACTGGGAAACGTTTTTGCGCTGATCGCCTTGTAGCTGAATCACTTTTCCGACATCTTTGTCGCGAACAACGTTACCGTTGCAGCAGAACTCTTTCTTGAGATCTTTGAGGATTTTTTCGTAGCTGAATTGCTTTCCCAGGCCTTGCACAGTTGTCAAGCTCTTCTTTCCGTTCCTCTGCTGTATGCGTATGTGGACATACTCTTTAGCTCCGGCGGACCCTGCTTCTTTCGCCTCCGAAAATGGATCATATGCTGTCGGGATTTGGGTTTCGAAATCAACCATGTATGAAATTAATCTTTGATTTATTTGGCGAGATGATCCAATTGTGCACTGAACAGATGTTTGATGTGTACATATATTTATAGAAGACAAGTTGTATGTGAAACCACGGTTTGACTTGACCTGTCATTCTCACCAGGGTTAATTAATGCCAGTTGTCCAATCCGATCCGTGAAATGGACGGTCTGGATTGTTCAGACTAGATTCGAGTCAATCTGGCGATGACAAGGAACGCGTAGATTCAACGCATACATTATTGTTTTTGGTACAGCAGTAAAATTCTTTATGGGGCCCTACCTTATCCACCTTTTCAGGTGCTGAAATGGAGATATGGTAGTTTTGATCATTTGACGATTATATGTTTCGCAGTTGAGTTAACCATGTTGCATATTTTCCGTCCTTTCGACCCATGCAACATAATCTACGTGCCCCGTCTTTCAAAACGGAAGTGATTTCTGATGCAAGAACACTAATTACATAATAACCACACATAAAATTGTCACAAAAATAGCATAAAAAGGGAATATATAACGACACGTTAGATGGTAGGATGATCAGGCAAACGCTTCAGATCCATTTCAACTTGGTGAATAGTCCACTGCATATTTTCCAGTTTCTGCAAATAAAATCTTACTTAGGAACCAAACTTTAGCATCTTTAAGTAAATTGAAAAGTTTTTTTACGTTTTTACCTTCACTATCTCGTGGTACTGTCTAGCAATGGTATCGAAATGAGGATCAACACCTTGATACTCACGGAGTCGTGTGACCTGGCAAAGAAATTTAACGATTACATTGATTCTAATTCAGTCTTGCAGCCCTAGAATCACTACACTGTTGGATTACTTGCAAGGTCGACTTTTGCTTCTTATGCATATATATTGAAATATATCTACTTTCAGAAATTATACACGAGTAGCATAGTTGAAGCAAGTGGAATTATAAATCAAACAAACTCACAAATACACTGCAAGAGTGAAGAATCTTACCGCCTTATTATATGAAAGTGAAGCTTCTTCAGTTGATTCAACCAGAAATTTCCTATGCAAAGCAAGATTAGTTAATAGTTAATACTACTACCTGGAAAGTAAACTAAATATTAATATAATCACTTACCTAATTTCGTGGAGTGCCGGAATGGTTTCCCTAGTGTAGGTTTCAAGCAGGAGAATATGCTCTAGAGCTCTTCAATAACAAATCAAAGTAAATAAGATTGCTGTTAGCCAAATCATGTTTCGCAAACAGTGTATTTATATCGGTCATTTATTAAATAACTTTCAACATTAAGAGCCAGGTCAGCAACAGAGAAGACAAACCTTAATTTAGCACTCATGGTCTCACATCTTTTGCATAACCAAGTCTTTTGTAGTTCATCCTACAAAATACAGAAGCCAAATCCTGGTAAAAATCTTTAGAGGGTAAAATAAAAATAATTAGCATGTAGCATAAGGCAACCTCACAGAAAGTGCTAAGAGTTGACGAATAAGATGGATCATTTTTTTATCAAAACTGACATTAAGAAGCTTACATATTTATGTTGATGTCGAAGCTTTACATCTTTGACAAGCTTAATAAGCACCGCAAGAATCTGCTCCAATACCTAAGGTAGACCAAACATACATCAGAAGTAGAATGCAAAAAAATGTAATATACCTAACGGTTCAATGGTTTGATCAGGTACGGAAGTATTCCAGGGATAATACGTCACAAGTGAACTGCAACACAACTCCCCTTACATTATAGTACTCCGCAAATTTCCGGTCAGAAGAATAAAGATCCTCCCTCCATGCTAATTCTTCTCTTTCAATCTCCTCGATGATTACTTTTACCCTGGAAAATGCGAATTCGGACTGTAAAACTGGATTAACCATTGAAATATGTTTCCATATATTGAAATACCACCGTAAAGATGATTTTCATTAAAATGTAGGGATATTACATTTAAACTATAATTGATGATAAGCAATAATGTTCTGAACAAAACATCGAGCAGCTTCTTGTCTAAAGAACAGAATCAAAGGTGCTTTTATGTATAGGAAATTGAAGAATAAATAATCTATATTGAAGCTTGAATCCTGACTATCCAGAGGAAAGGGGAAAAACGAATGATAGTACAAATTGTGTTTAACTACATGAACTATATCATTAGCAGCATTTTACTTAAAAAATCACAAGAATAAATGAAACATGGCACAAATCAGCCAAGAAAGCTCAATATTACCCTCAAATAAAAATTTAGAAGGGAAAAATAAGAAAAGGTGAAACAAGTTCAAATATTCTTCTAGTATAGCATAAATACTTTTAGAGATTTGCAAGTGCTGGGTAAGAGAGAGACCTTTCTGGAAGTCTGGAAGTCATATTCTGGTGACCAGTTGATGAATCTAACAAACCAAAAGGAGAAAATGACAGTCCACTTAGAACCTCACAGTATAAAATGAAACTGAATATGCATATGAGGGTGATCAATTGTGATAGCAAGCAATATCTAAAGCATTAGTTTCAGTTAAACTGTTTCCAGTAAAGCGCATATATGCAAAATAAAGCAAATTAAGGATTAAGTTATATACGGAAACAAAAGAGACAGATTGGTTCAAGCTGGATCAAGGGTGACATACTAGAAAGAAGTGACAGTTAATTCAAATCATCAAGGGTTGTTGGTTTATACATATTCAAGCAAATATTAAACAAGGCAAGCATGCAATATTCATCAGAATATAATAAGACCGTACAGAGACTCGATAGAAAAAATACTTCGTCTCACCAATATCATCTATGACAATAGCATCTGCTAACTTATCACATTTAGCATCCAACCGACTTGCAATCTCACGGGCAAGCAACACCTGGTACTCTGTAATGTCCTGCGTTCACAGATATGTCAAAATAACTTTTTGGTCAGCAGAAATGATACTAAATTATAAGAATGACTATTCCGCTTCTTTCTTCCCATTAAACAATAAATTCAGACTAAAACTAAATCTTGTGGTTGCCCATACCATGTACAGTGGTGTTTGTTGAAGCTGTGTTTGCCATAAATAGGCTGGTGTTATCCCAAGGAATCGATTTGGCACCCCACCAACTTCAGGTTCAGATGCATCGTTTACCCCAACAGAGAAAGGATTATTTGTTGGAGCCCCTGCCCCAATAGCAGATACATTTGTATAATTAGTTGAATTTGTGCTTGAGCTGATTGTGACACTGGTACTTGTACTATCAAGTGAGCTCCTCGACACAATACTCCACTTTTCAATTTCTTCCTCGTGAATCTCTCCGTCTTTGGAGATAAGTGGAAGCCTCAATCTTTGAGCAGCTTCTGCAACAGCCATCCGATGCTCAAGAGCTTCATAAACCTGAAAAAAAAAATTAACTCTTTCAACTCTAATGTTCAAACTGAAGTAGAAATTCAAAAATCAAAACCCCATAACATGTCAAAATCTCGAGCTCGATGTCATACGCTTGAATCGACTGATACCTAAAGGAATACCGTGAGTAAGCAAAAATAACAGAAGTTCTGCAAAGTCATATTCATGTAACAGATTTTGGGTAAATTAACAGAAAGTTGGAACCTGGGGTATGTTCCTCAAGCCTAGCTGCGGATAAAGGCCCTGAAGATCACGAATGCCGCCCAAACTAGCAACGGAAACCGCTTGTTGATACTCCTCCACCATTGCTACAGCTTCTATGTACACCGCCTGCCCAATTACATCACCAATAACCCTAATTACGTAATCAAAAACCACCAAAAATCGTTAATTAGGACGGAATTGTGTAAGGGGTAAATTTTTTTTTACCAGAGATTCCAAGTAACGCTGCCTCTCTTTACACATTTCTTCTCTGGCCTGCATTTCCAAATCAGCAAAAAATAAAAATAAAAATCCTACAAATTAACACTGCGAACACGAGAAGAAAGAGAAAAATTGAAGTGCGGAGAATGGTTGAATTACGAGTTGGAGATCGTAGTAGGCCGATTTGGAAATGAGAGATCCGTCGGGAGCCAAGCAGTGGCGCTCCAGCTGATCCATCACCAGACTCACGTCCGCCGGAAGATTTTGCGTCGCGAAGATCTTCGCCATTGTTTAAGCTACTAGTAGTTTTCTTCGATATCTCCCTAATTCTGGACAGAAAAATTAGTTCGAGTTCAAAATTGAAAATACTCGACAAACAGTTTCCATTTTTCCGCCGGCCTTCAAAACGGCACCGTTTTGTGACAACACTAGTTTTTGAACATTCCCCCCTCTGGAGCTTCTAAATTGGGCTTTCGGAAGAGGGGATATTTATTTAGGGCTCGTGGCCAAGCCCAATTATTTTAATTCTTGATTAATTAGTTAATTAATTGGCTAATTATTAATTAAGATGGTAATTACTCTTGAGTAATTTCAAATTTGGTACCATGAAGAAAATTACACTCCAAATGAGGTCGGCGGAAATAGAATCGCCGGCCGATGCTTAATTAACTGTCAACCCTAAAACTCCCCGAAATAGAAAACTGCGATATGGAAAAGGGAAAAGCGAAAGAATCCACTCAAATTGTGACCACTTCTCTGCGCAATCTCCAATTGGTGGATGGCAATACCGTCAATTCAAAATCGACCCGGAATTCAACCGCCTTCTCTCTTCAATCCCGTGGGTATTTTAATTATTTCTCCGAATTTTGAGGATTTGTTGAGGAAACTTTTTGTTACAAGTTTTGGGGGGGTTTTTGTGCAGAATCGTTGAAGAATTCGAGAAAGGGGAAACCGTCGCCGAGCTTGTTGAGCTTGTGTTTGGGAGTGGTCGGCAGCAATCTCGAGGACATTATCGATGACTTGCCGGAGATCGCCCTCACTCTCCCTTCCGATATTAAGGTACACTCGGTTGTGTGTGTGTGTGTGCGTGTTTCATTTTTGAGTTTTATAACAACTTGATCATTACACAGATGGTAATGGTGGCAATTGCCAGAAGAAGGAAGCTGCTGAGTGATGAATTTCTGATTGCCTTGGCTGATAGTTCATGGGAGATACTAGATATATCCGGTTCGGATGTTTCGGATTCCGGGATCTGTCACGTGTCGAACATCTGCCAAAACCTAAGAGCTGTTGATATAAGGTATTAGTAGCTTTAAGTACATTACCAGTTTCTTTTTATATTACCGAATACGGATTGAGGATCAACTGGAGAAAAGTTTCCTGTTTGTTAGGACAATGTTGTTACCGAATACGGATTGATACCTACGTTTTTTCTTCTTTTCTCCAGTTTGTGCAGAATGATCACTCCAGCAGGTGTTTCAAAACTTCTCCAGCTTTGTCGTTCGATTGAGATATTGAGATGGGGGTATATTCTCTTTCCAAGCAGCTAAACTTACTTATGTAGAGTTCTGTTGAATTAAGATATTTCGTAACTTGTTCCTTTCTATTGACTACCTCGTTGACTTTCTTTGAGCATCGTTGGTACTTACCTAACTGGACTGCCCCATTCGATTAAATCTTCGATATGGAGAATAGCTCAGCTTTGTTGTTATTAGGTTCCCTTTGTCGAGATGTGCTATCGAATGACATAATTTAAGATTTGCAGTGTCTTTCTCACTCGAACCTTCTTGCGTGGCTAAATCAAATGCCCGATCTTAAATTTCTTCAACTATCCCTCGTGATTTCAGCCAAATTTCACAACAAGATTCCTATGTTGCAGGCTAGCAGCCATCATAAACGTTAAATTTTACATTCGTTATGACATTTTGCTGAAATCAACGGTCGACATAGCGCTTGTTATCATATTCGCGGTTTGATGCATGAAATAAGTTCCTGTTACATGACAACCATCTGGGGTCTGCTTAGAAAGTTCCTGTCATTCTGACTGAAAATGAAAACCTGTCGATTGAAATGTTCTGTTTATAATGCATACCATCATCATTTTTGTATGTGGTGCAATGACCCAATATATTGGGTTTGACATGGAAACATGACCTCGAAACAGGAAATGAATCAAAGTATTGTAAATCACTGCAGAGGTTGTCCGAGGAGCGATTACACTGCTCGCAGATGCTTGAGTCTCTTAAAGCCAAGCATCAACGATGCGGAGGGGGAATCCTGGGAGGAGCTTGATGCTGTGGAGTTGACTCATGGTGCACAGTCACTTCGCTGGCTTGTCTGGGTATAATTCGTTTCCCGGCATTTTAAATTCTCGTGCTTTTATTATGTAGATAGATACACCACTTCTCGAGTCATTCTTTTTTTTTTTTTTATAAATGTTTTGCAAGTTTTCAGCAAGCATACTATTTTGCTATTTACCACTTGTCGTTCCTTTTGCAGCCAAGAATAGACAAGGACACACAGGAGATACTAGCCCTTGAATGTCCACGAATTATAGTGAATCCGAAGCCATCACTTTTGGGCTTAAGGGGTACTGAAATTCCCCGAGAAGCAGTACTGCAACTTGTGTTGGATGACCCGATTGTATTAGATATTGATCCAAGAACATGGGCTGTATCGGGGATTAATGCATCGAGAGCTCCTATTTTGTCGGTTTCGACTCCTAATGAATTATCAGTGGCTGAGAAGTTTAGGTTAGCGTTTGTAGAGAGGGATAATCGGTTAGCGCCAAAGAGGGCGAAGAATGCAAGGCAGCATCAAAGACGGGCTGAGAGGGAATGGGTGATGATGGATGAGAGAGCAAAGGCGCTAGCACTTGCTTCAAAAGCTACCAAGTCTGCCAACCTCAGAAAGCTGTAAGGGAAAATCCTGAGATGAATTTCGTACATTGTAAAACCACATGATACCAATATATAACTTTGCGATTTTGTTTTGTTGTCAATATTTTTTTTTTATATATAAGAAAATATAATGTACTATCCTTTTTATATCAAGTAGAATACGAAATGGGTACATGTTTAGGAATCCTGCCAAATCTGAGTCATGTAATTTCATCGAGTCGCAATTAGCAAACAGTGTATACTTGTAGGTGGGAGCTTCAATTACACAATGATTTCCACACTTGCACAAACTTTATTGAGTTGACAGGATACAAATCCAAGTACTCTGCGGGACTATGTATCGAACATTGTTGGTGCACCAGTCTAATGCTCTATCACGAGGAAACAAAACGACTATATAATGAGATGCAAAGAGGTGATGTAGAACAGATATAGAAAATGATAACAAAATCATTCATATCCATAGATAGCATACATGTATAAGTACTTCTGTTTCATCGAAAGCAAAACAACGTTTATGTTGAAACCATGTAAAATACCATCTCAATTTCCCCCGATTATTGAAAAACTTTGTGGACAAGGAAAATACAGCTTAGCAAGCATCTGAGAGATTATTCACCGCATCAACGACCGAGTGTTCTGAAAGATGAGGAAACTGGTTGAACACAAAGCGGAAATTCTTTCGCTAGAGTAAGGCTTTACTGTTTGCTCAAGTTTCGAATGACATACTGAAGGATGCCTCCATGGTCGAAGTACGTCAGTTCAACCTGCATAAGACAATCGAAATGGAATTGTAAGCCATCAATTTTATTCGTTTCACAGAAAACCATAAAATAGCATAAACTAGGTGGCAGATGAATACCTCTGTGTCAAATCGCAAGGTACATGTGAAAGATTTTCCATTATCTGTCGTCACGGTAATATCTTGTCCAGGCTTAATATCGCTCGTTTTTTCTGGAAGGTCAATGGTGTAGCGCTCATGACCTGTCAAGCCAAGTGTTTCTGCATCCTCGCCAGCCTTGAAGCAAAGTGGAAGGATACCCATGCCGACTAAGTTACTGCGGTGAATCCTCTCGAAACTTTTGGCTATCACTGCTTTCACACCCTAAATTTATAAACAAGAGATAACCATGTTAATAAAAAGATGATTGGACACAAAACTTGACATAATATTGCAAAATACTGCTCACCTGAAGCATTGGTCCCTTGGCAGCCCAGTCTCGAGAACTGCCACTTCCATATTCTGCTCCAGCCAAAACAATAGTGTCCTGCCCCGATGACTTGTATCTCTGAGGAAAAAAAAACACGTAGTTATGTCAGTATAGACGACTAATGAAGAAAACAGTATAAGCCATGGTTACTTAAATCACAGAACATATGCAAGATAAATGTTGTAACAATTATTACCATTGCAGCATCATAAACATATAGTTTCTCTCCTGTCGGAATGTGAACAGTCTTTGGGCCAACTTCACCATTGAGCAATTTGTTCACTATTCGGATATTGGCGAAAGTACCCCTAGCCATAACCTCATCATTGCCACGACGACTACCATAAGAATTAAAATCCTTTCTGTCGACGCCACGGTCCATCAAATACTTTGCAGCAGGACTATCTTTCTGGATACTGCCAGCTGGCGAGATGTGGTCGGTGGTGATACTGTCTCCAAACAACAGCAAGCAATATGCATCCTTCACTCCACGTGGACCAGGTGGGTCCATTGTCATACCATCGAAATATGGAGGCTTGTGGATGTACGTAGAGTCCGAGTCCCACCCATAAAGGCTTGATGAGGGCACTGATAATTGATTCCAGAATTCATTGCCTTTTGTAATGGCTTCGTAAGTGCTCTTGAACATTTCAGGAAGTACGCTAGATTGAACAACCTGCACAAAATTTTCATTCAAATTTGATTTTTGTAATAGCTAATCATATCCCTGATAACGTGTTGTAGTATGTGTTGTAGTATGTTATGTACAAATCGAATACCGGAAAAGGAAGGAAGAAAACTAACTTGTGCAATTTCTTCACTGGTGGGCCAGATATCCCTGAAATACACACTTTTTCCATCTTTTCCAGTTCCAATTGGCTCTTTCTCGAAGTCAATGTCAACCTAAAAAATACAGCATTATAAGGAAAATCAGGAAAATATTCCAATGAAATGTTAGCCCACCGCACTTCGGCAAACCGTTTTATTATATTGAATGGTATCTAAATGACAGTTTAGTAGCTACTTCCTCCAATCAGTTCAGCGTGTACATGAGAGTACATTCAATACATATAGAGAGATGTATTCTACAGAATTATAAGGCTTACCGTGCCAGCAAGTGCATAAGCCATAACAAGTGGAGGCGAGGCGAGATAGTTAGCTCTTGTTAGGGGATGAACACGGCCTTCGAAGTTCCTATTTCCAGATAGGACAGCAGCAGCAACAAGGTCTGGGAAATAAAGAAAAGAAGTTCAGCAATATGTAACAAAGAACGCGTTGATAATCTTCCATGTGCCTTCAACTAATTCTCAGCAATTTAACATGGATATGCAAACTACCTATGGTCTTGCAAAAAAAAAAGAGGTAAATGGTAATGGATACCATGTGAGTTTGTGGCAATAACTTGTAAGTGTGTTCATCAGCTAAAACAAATGATTTATAAAAACTTTAAACATCTTCACTATTTAAACAAAATTTCTGCTGTTTCGCGAAAGGGGAGAGGAAAAATCATTGCCCTGTTCGTAGCAATATACTTTCTCAACATACATAATTTTACCAATCAGAGAAGACATGATATCAATCTTTCAGTCAAATAAACGGAATTGACAACTCAAAATTTATACTGGATAATACAAGGCTCAAGTGATCCGTGATTAATGAACAAGGAATAAACACACTCCCCCACAAACTTATTAATTTGACGTAGTAACTAGTAAATAAAAAATAAATATGGAAGAGGGAACATACCATTGTCAGCAATAGCAGAGGCAACTGATTCGTCAAGATCCCCAGAATTACCAATACAAGTTGTGCAACCATAACCAACAATATTAAAGCCTTGCTGGTTCAAGTACTTCTGCAATCCACTACAAGAGGTATAAAACAAATTTAGCAACTCTTTACAGTGGTAATTTATCAACTGACCCAAATAAACCAGGAGAGAGCATAATATGATATGAGATCTGGCAAGATCCTAGAGAGTACCTCTGGAGCAAATATTTTGTTACAACCCCAGAACCCGGGGCAAGACTTGTTTTCACCCATGGTTTTACCTGTCAAATAATCATCAAACTAAAGGTCAGAAAATTGCTGTTTATAAGAACCCCATAATCAGAGTGCAATCATCCAGATAACAAGCACCAGCTGAGATTGTGATACTAACCTCTAACCCCAGTTCACATGCCTTCTTTGCAACAAGACCAGCTCCAAGCATCACACTTGGGTTTGATGTGTTTGTGCAGCTTGTAATAGCTGCTATGACAACACTTCCATGCTTGAGTTCTGCAGGCTGACCATTGAACGAGAACTTTACAACCTTCTCTTGTTTTTCCTTAGGTATAGCAAACCCCTGCATGAAAAAAGACAATAAAGTTGGAATCGAAAGAAAAACATGATTATAGAAAAAAAAACATCGAGAAAAATGAATATACAACTTGGTCAGCATTATGATCTCTATTTTACACTTGTTCCAAAAAATTATTAGTCACGCATAACCAGGTTCAAAACCTACGTGGTGAAAGTTTAGAAGGAACTTTGCATCTTACCTTGAACCCAATTTTGTTGTCGAGACACGAATGCCAATCGTCTTTCATATCTTTCAAAGGAACCCGGTCATGAGGCCTATACCACATAGCAAAAATCATTTTTTTTAATCCAAAAATAAGAGCATACTTCTATGAAATGAAAGTGAAAAAATAGAACTTCTAAGAACATGGCATACCTTTTGGGTCCTGATATACAGGGTTCAACATCAGAAAGCTCCAAATCCAGATATGATGAGTACACTTTCTCTTCTTGAGGCTGTACAATGAAGTCCACTCCAGTAAGACATACTTATCCAGCTCATTTCAATAACGAAAATTTATGAATAATAAACCTTAGATGAAAATGTACCTCATTGTAGTCAATGAACATTCTGTTTGCCCGCAAGTATGCTTCAATCATTGCAACCTAGACAAATTGAAGAAACAACACCCACAACCTTTGAAGTTAAACGTGTGGATGTATTTTCAACAGCAAAATGGGCAAAAAAACTGGAAGTGCTACCAACCGTCTCATCACTTCTTCCGGTCAATTTCAAGTATTGTAGCGTGACATGATCAACTGGGAAGAACCCCATGGTTGCTCCATACTCGGGAGACATGTTTGCAATAGTTGCTCTATCTGCTAATGATAATTGGCCCATACCCTCACCTATACACATGGTAATGAATGGATTAGGGATCAACCTCTCCAACATGAGAGAAGTAAAGGATTTAGGTTGGGAGGAGAGTTACCATAAAACTCAACAAACTTGCCAACAACACCATGCTTTCTCAACATTTGCGTCACAGTTAAAACCAAATCAGTCGCAGTAACTCCATCACGCAATTTTCCAGTCAACTTAAAACCAACAACGCCCGGCAGAACCATGCTCATTGGCTAACAATTACAGGAGGAAGAAAGATTGATATCAAACACAATTATACATACCAAAAAGGGGAAAAAATGTGATAAATATCGACTCAACTATCTTTTTAAAAAAGAAAGGGGGGAGGAAATATATAGTTTACAATATGCAAAAAAATCAGAAAGTAGCAAGTTCCCCAAGAAAAATGGAATATAATTAAACCAAAGCATAGCAGAGTGTTAAGCAAATTACCTTAAATGTGGCTTCTAAAAAAGATGTTTAGGAAAATAGTCATAATAATAACTAGAAATAGTTTTCTAAACAAAAAAGAATACTGTGTACCTGGCCAAGCATTGCTGCCTCGGCTTCAATTCCTCCAACTCCCCATCCAGCAACACCCAATCCATCAATCATGGTTGTATGAGAATCAGTTCCAACAACACTATCAGGGTACAGAATGCCCTTGGTGTTGAAAACAACCCGTCCAAGATACTCTAGATTAACCTGAAATTTTAAAATCAGTTCAACACTGTCAAATGATATTAAGTATTATACATGTTACTAGATTCATCACTCATCAAGATATTGAGGCACGTACATATAATATCAAGCCTAAATACACTTTGCAAGTGTTCTGTAATGGATGAACATACAATATAAATGACTGAATCATACCTGATGGACAATACCAGAACCAGGAGGAACAACGAGCATATTTTGGAAGGCAGTGGATCCCCATTTAAGAAAAGCAAACCTTTCTTTGTTTCTCTTGAATTCAAGATCCATGTTCGCCTGCACGGCATTTTCTGATCTAGCTACATCAACCTGAACAGAGTGGTCGATGACTAGATCTACTGGAACCTGGATAGAATATTGTATAACAGATGAAAAGCAATGTCAGGATGGCATTATACAAAGGAAATTTCAGAATGCAATGTGCCTATACACACAACTGTTCACAGATTGAAATTTCAAGCAGGCCTACATGTCTCCAATTTCCTGTTTCTTGTATCCCATAGACTTCGTAAATTCTAGTTTATGATCAAATAAAGTCATGGACTGCATAAAAATAACTTCCTATTTTGAAGCATATTTTTTGCACAGAGAAGATGTGTACCAAAGGATTGATTTTGGCTGCGTCACTACCAAGTGCTGTGATAGCCTCCCGCATAGAAGCAAGGTCAACCACAGCTGGCACTCCAGTAAAATCCTATAAAAGCAAAAAAGGGAAATAAAATCAAGAAATCAGAGCCACTTTACATGAAGCTGTCAATAAAGTATTCTGTACCAGTCACTAATTTCATCTCTTATCCGTCTCACCTGTAACAGAACACGAGCTGGCTTAAAAGGGATCTCAACTTGCTTTGGGGCAGAATTTTCCCAATCAATAATTTTTTCAACATCCTCCTTTGTGACTTGGAAGTTATCACAATTTCGTATAGCTGATTCTAAGAGTATCTTGATAGAATATGGAAGCTTGTCTGCGAGAAGAGATAATAAGATGAGCAACAAAATAAATAATAATAGCGGACATCAACCATTAAACTGAAGAAAATCATCTATTATATCAACCATTAATTCTCACAATACAGATGTATCATAGAGAAATCTGTGATTTGAAGAATTCCAGCAACAATACAAATTATAACATTCCTAAAGTTCAAATTCATGGGACATGACTCACAAACCCAGAAAACTTACCAATTCTAGGATCGTTCAAAGCAGGAAGGCTATAGAACTTTCCAAATTCACCTCCTTCAGGCTTGGGAAGACCAGATAAAATTCCGTTAAAAGGATGTTCTGAAGCTGCAAGCATGAATTGGTGGTAGAGCTCATCAATAATAAGATAATAACACATGACAAAAGCAACATGATCCATATATAAGAGCAGGAAAAAAACACCACTTGAGTCTCTTAACGGTAAAAGAGACAAAAATCAACATGAAAATTAGATTGTTCATGGTACCTTATATTCATCAAAAAGCTGAAAAGTTATCATCCACAAAAGAAGAAATAGAACTATTGAAATAACTATAAACCCTTAACACAAGAGAAAAACTCCACATGGTCAACCGAAGTCAACTAAATAAAGAGAATAAACAAAGGACAAGTCTGCAAATATTTTGTAGTGAAAGATGAAGAGTTGGGATTTGAGGCTCTGTATCCAAATTATTTCTGTCTCATACAAACAAAATTATCATTGTGAAAATAAAGTTTGAATAACCTGTAACATCATGACTAGAATCTCTTGAAGACTTGAACCAAATTCCAGAATCTAGAGTACAACAAATATCTGCCATCAAATTTCTACGACCCATGACTAGAAATCCATGCAATTGTATTATTGAACCTTCACAAGTAACTCTACTAACATGAAACCACCATGCAATTTAACTGATAAAAATCACAAAGATCAGTAAACTGACTGTGACAAACTCCAATCCAGATATAATAAATCATAAACAACTAAAAAACTAGAATTTACATCATCACTCATGCACCTATCAGTTCATAATTGCATGGAATGAAGTTTAGACAAAACAAAAACAATAATCAATCATTAGTTCTGCAATTAACTTTTAAATGCACAACTACTTGCCGAGATTAACAACTATTTATATATGCATACAACCACAACAAACCAACATAGATCCCCTTATCAGACGAACATTTTTGTTATTCTCGTGGTTAATATTAATTAATTCTGAAACAAATCCATCAACATTCGCGTGATAATCACCATATCAATAATAACCATAATACAGAATCATCCAATCAGCAAACATTGTTATAACTTATAATTTACATTTCTGACCCCGAATCCGAGAACCGAACATGCAATACAAACATGGAACTCAAAATTTTGAAAATGATATGATCTCTATTCAGTCAGCATAAATGAAGTTCAAATCAATTGGAACAAATCCGATCATACCCATGGTAGCAATCTTGCGCTCGAAGCGTTCGAGAACAGGAGATGAAGACCTGATCTGCGCTCTAAGACTGACCGGGGATCGCCAATCAGCACCGTGACTCCACCGCTGGGAAGAAGAGTAGCGGATCGACCGAAGCGCCGACGAGAAGCTCAACGATCGGCAGCTAACGTTGGAGGGCGGCGTAAACGCGCGCGACGGCGAACTCCTGGCGAAGGTCCGAGAAACCGACGAGAACGAATGGTTCACAGGCGGAGAGAGAGTAGAAGCGAATCGCACCCTGCAAGCTCTGAAAATGGAAGACGAGGTTGGTGAAGTATAGCTGTGTGTGGATAAATACATGTTCGATTAATACTATTTTTTTTATTTTTTTTTTGCGTGTCAGAGAAAAAAAAAACCCTAGCCAGCAGTAGAAAAGTCCTATTTATTTATTTATTTATTACTGGAAATTAATATTTATTATGACTATGTTTCTGTATGTATAGAATATAGATAGATACGAAGGTGTGTATGTATCGGAGGTGAAACGGTGAGGAGTTTTTCATGGGTGTTTTTGGCAGCTAGCGAGTGGGGAAGGGGGGTGGTTTTGCGGGGGTGTGTGGCGGTGCAGGGTTTGTATGGTGGGGATTAGGTGTTTGGAGCGTTGGATTTTGATTGACGGTGGACGGTGTGACGAAAATGTGGACCCGCGATTTTAAGGTATCTTGATCTAGGTTTTTGGAAAGATACGGTAAAATACGTCATCGTTCTGATTTATCACTACTCTTCATTACGTTCGCGTGGCACCCACGTGCTCATCATTCTAATTTCTTTGCCTTTTTAAGGACGTTATTTATTACTAAAAAATGTTTTTTTTTTTAATTAAAATTACTATTAAATTCGCACATGCCTTCAATTTGTTTAGCATTTTAATTTTGGAAATGTTTTTATGTATGAACTTGAAATCATTAACTTGAATTTATTCAAGGGGCAATTTGCTAGAGGTCCCTCTATATTATAATTCAAAATTTCCATATTTTAATAAATTAATAATACTTTTTGTGTCAAAAATACCCTTAACCAAATCAAATCAAATCCCCTAAAAACCTCTCTATCAAAACAAATTTCCAAACATCTCTCTTGTAAATATTAACAAAAAAATTAAATAAATTAGTAAAAAAAAATATACTATTTATTCTACAACTCATACTCTAAAATCGACATCGGTTCCGTCTGTCGTGAACTGCAAATAGCAACCTATGACTCTGTTAACTGCAAATAGCAAATGACGCCTATGATTCTGTAAACTGCAAATAGCAAACTGAATATTGGAATTTGTATTATTGAATTGCAAACAACAAAATACCAATGATTCATTCAGAAAACAGCAAACTGGAAAAAAATTACAGAATTTGCATTATTGAGTTGCAGAAAAATGATTAACTATGACTTCTCCAAATACAAACATCAAACTGAAGAAAAAATCGAAAACGAGAAAAAATATGTAACACGAAATTGCAAAATGCAAAATGAAAACAATTAAAGAAAAAAAAAACCGAGGTGCTCACCCCAAATCCCTTGCCGCCATTCTTAACTCCGTCACAAATCCTAGAGCCGCCGCTGCCGCCGTAATGAACCCAATCAATTGAGTGCAACCAGTCAAAGCTCTCGGTGAGGATGGTAGGGACCGAGACGGAGATATTGTTGGGGACGAAGCAGATGGTGGATTCCGAACACCGGTGAAGAGATGCATCAAAATTTCATGGATCGATTGCCGTAGAACCACCACCCAAGATTGGGGCGAGAATCTCATGAATTGCCTTCCATCGTAACAACTGGAGAAGTAGAAATTAAATACAAACAACAAACAAGGTCTCCAAAATAGCAAACGTTTTTCCAAACAAAGAACAAGCAACATATCCCACAACCAAAAAACAAACGACAAATATTTGTTTATAGTTTGTTGAAGGTTCTAGCTATGGCAGGATTCAAAAGGGAAGAAAAAAAATCGGAATCGAGAAAGGGAAGGGAGTAAGAAATTGATCAGATTTTTTCTTCGAAAGATGCTTATCGAACGAAAAAACAACAGAATTGAAGAGAAACACGATAGAGAGGCACGAGATAGAGAGGTAGAGAGAGATGAGAGATTAGATATAGGTGGAGAAAGATACGTAAGATTGAAGAGAGAGAGAGAGAGAGAGAGAGAGAGAGAGAGAGAGAGTGATATATGGGATTTACTTTCTTTTTAATTAAGGGTGTTTATGTCAATATACTAATTATTTTATTTTATTTATATTACTTTTTTTTATCAAAGGACCTAGACCTATATTCATCTAACAGTTAGGATCTCCACCTATATAAGTCCAGAATGAGGGGTGTCTAGCCAATTTCCCCTTTATTCAAATCAAATACTAATTTACAGTAAAACAACATCAAAAAAGTAATTGCACTTCCGTATATGAACAACTCATAAATACTATATAGGGCAAATTACGAAATACCCACTGAGGTAACGCTTATTTACGAAAAGTAATATATCCGTAAGGGACTGTGTGAGACGACGACATATTTTAAGGGAATTTTCGTAATTATGCAAACATGAGAGAAATTATCATAATTTGCCGATACTATTTTTTTTCATGATATTTTGACTCGAATATCAACGAACACCTTGGAAAAAATATCTATCCAAATAATACTCATATAATCTATTAACAACAAGTAGATCTCTGCCATAAAACTAGCATGTGCAAAGTAAAAAAAATCGTTTTCTATTTTAAAGAATATCCATTATTCAATTTGTGGCCCTTTTTAATACCACATCAATGATGGAACTAAAATAACAAACTTTCCATTGTAGTTGGTGAGTGGATATCTTGGATTTGAGATATTATCACTTTCCATCACATCATGGACCACTAGGGAAAATTCGATTATTTATATGCTGCACTCAGTGAAGGTTACACTGAATGAATTTTTATCATTGATCTGCACACACCAATGTGGTATTTGTGTATATTTATGTGTATATTAATGTAAAGAAGTACCCTTGTATTTCACCAAAAGTAGCATATTATTAATCGTCAACTTAGCAAGTGCCAAAGTTCACACACTAGAGGTGCACAACTATATATTATAAAAGTTTATACAAAAAACCAAAAGATTAGACTAAAATTGACTTTGTGAATCGTGTGTATATATTTCTCAAAAGTCATAACGTCATTGTACAGTTGTGGATAAGCTTTTAGCGGGGTTAGTTCTTTGTGGGGCCAGGCCCAGATCCGCTATCCTAATGGACCGTTGAGTCACCACGAGCGATGGATTTCACCTCTTTTGGTACAAGATTTCGAATAGAAAAAAAAAACGGTTGAACCTTGATATGTGCTGATTCTCCGGGCACAACTTGCTGGATCTAATATTAATCAAATGTCTGAAACTTATATTAAATATATAAATATGTAATGAATCCAGACACATTGAAACACTAAACATAAATTGTTCTAAACATTTATTTAACCACGAAATCAAGGTTTAAAAAAAAAAAAAAAAGAGTAAATAATCAAGATATAACTTATATACATTAACTATAATAAACTAGTAAAAATTTGGTATCCATTGGAGCCAAACAGCTCATTGCTGGGAATCTACAGCTATTTATGCCCTAATAAAAATGAAATGCTTACTGACTTTGCAGAAATCTTGAACTTAGGTCATTGGTATAACGCTCACGCACGAGCGATTTCCGATGTTTTGATGTAATTATACACAATTTGAATCCAACAATTCAGTAAATATAGTATATCACTAACTTATGAACATGGTCAAGATATAAATCCCGATATATACTATAAATTTATAACCATACATAATCAAATACTATAGACAAACGGTGTATGAAAATGGAATATCGCCAGAGTCGACAATGTATCATTCGATATGGTTTAAAGACTGTATTTAATTATAATCACACCCCACCCCGTAAGTTACTTCGGAAATGTCAATGTATTAAAAGCAGAGCACTAAAAGATTTTCCTCCAAGTGCAACTGCTGCAAAAAAGCTTCACTGAAAATTGTAATAAAGCAAAACCAAAATATGCATCACGAATTATCGTATATGGCAAAACTGATCCTAATAATTTCTAAATAATTTGAAATTGAAATTTATTCCTAGCAATTTCACTTCACATTAGATGGTTTTCAAATCAAATCAATTGTATACCCAAATCCTTCATAACTGAGTAGTAGTAGTAGTACCTTAAAACGGACGATAAGTCAAAATCCGAAATCCGCCCCTAGTAAATGCAGGCAGGGAAAAAGCAGCAGCAATTATGGCAGCATATGCATTCATCTACATACGTGGGAGCTCGATTCTGTCCACGTTCTCTCCATGCAAATGCTCAAATCCCACTATAAATATCAACCCACCTTTTTCCTCACCGAACAAATCATTTTCAATATAAAATATTATATTAATGGCCAAGCTTGGAATTTCCGCCGCCCTCTTCGCCGCCCTGATCGCCATGGCCGCCGCCGCCGCCACCACCACCTACACAACGATGGTGATAGCCACCACATTGGTGGAGGAGGAGAACCCACACAGACAGTCCTGCCAGAGAGAAATTCAACAGATGCCGCCAATGAAGAGCTGCATGCAATGGATGCAGTCAATGATGGGGGGTGGGCCCTACGTGTCAAACCCCCGTTACATACTGGACGAGGACCACCTCCATGAATGCTGCAACGAGATGTGGGGGGTGAGCACCCCCTGCCGCTGCGAAGCAATGAAACAGGTGATGAGGCAGATGATGCAGCAGCAGCAACACGGAACTGAGGAAGTGATGCAGCAGCAACACGGAACTGAGGAAGTGATGCAGCAGATGATGAAGCAGAAGATGCAATCTCTTCCACAAATGTGCGGCATGAAATCCACCACACAGTGCAGCTTCCAAACCATCTTTGTCTGAATAAATCAAGAAAATAGCCCACTGGCTTTGGAGAGATTAATGTTGGTTGTAATAATGCAGCACACAGTCGCTTAGTGTGTATTGTTGACTCTGCAATAATGTAAAACACCAGTTCAACTTTCCAGAATCCTATGTATTATTAAAATAAAAAACAACATTTACAGCAATAAGGTCGGTATATTAATTTACCATATCAAGAAATTCAGCAATACTTCCATCCAATCCAAAGAACTTCACCAATAACAATGTTTAGAAACGAGCGATTAATGTATCTACAGGGTGTGAGACTAAATTAAAAGCAAAGAAAGGCCATTGTCCGCCAAAGTGAATTGCTCTGTATTCATCTGTAACTTATAAAGAGGCATTAAGATTTTCATCAGATAAGTTGCTCTACATCCGTCTGCCACAAAGACACATCCACGTGTTCATCAGAGGCACGCAATTGCATTACTCTATCAAACATATTCCAGAAACAAGGATGCTCCAAAACACAGGATACGCGATCTCCATGCAAAGGGTCCAACGAGAAATAAACAAGCGCTTCTGCAGCATTATCTCTCAGCTCATCCAACTCATCCTCCAGCATACCAATCAAAAGCGGAATCGCACCACAGCCAGCAAGAACCTCTCGATCAACCTCGTTGAAACTCAACTGAGCAACAGCTCCCACAACTCTCTCTCTAACCTCAACATTCTCATCACTCAAAAGCCCAACTAGAATCGGAATAGCACCCGAGTTCTTCAGTACAGGAAACGAGTACTTATAACTCGAGAGATCCCATATAACATCCGCAGCTGCAGCTTTTGCTCCCACACTGTCTCCTCCAAGAATTTCAACCAGCTGTTCGACAATATCCACTGCATTTTCCTCGTAAACAGCCAGCACACAAAACACATCCTCGGCTATTTCCTTGCCAATATGATCGGAGCCTTGAAGTAGCTCCGCATACAAAGGAATAACCCCTGCTCGAGCAATCGGCCTAATGTGATCAACATGTGAAGAAATCACACCGAGTGCATTAGCAGCTATCAATTTCACATTACAATCTCCAAACTTGAGTAAATCCATAAGTGCCACCACAGCACCGGCGTCCACAAGGCTCCGACGCGCTCTCTTGATCAATCCGAGCAAGCCAATTGCCTGAGCGGCTCTAGTTTTTGACACCAGGCGGCCACATCTAGCAGCTTCCACGAGATGGTGGACTCTTCTAGAAGTCCAGAGAGACTTGCGAACCTCTCGTAAAAGAGACAGCGCGCTTACAATTTCCAATATAATCAACTTCGAATCGTCAGAGCATGAACTCAGCATGGCAAGAACAATCTCGAGGCCGCTGTTGCTAGCTAGAATCAAGCGATTTGGGAACCAAAATGACACGAGATTTCGAAGGCATTTCAAAATTGCCCTCTGCAAACCCTCTACTGAATCCGGTAACAGTCTCAAAATGATGGGAACAGCGCCCAATTGGCCGATGAAATTGGCTAATGTGCCTTCGCCTTGGGCAGCAATGCATTTCAAACAATGAGCAGAGGCTTCTTGAATCACTACTCGGTGGTCACTCGGCGGACTTTCAAGAAGATTCAACAAAATCGGCACAGCACGTGACAAAATATCTTCATGGGCATATCTTGTCATCTTTGCAAGTTTGATCAGCGCTTGAACTTTGAGTGAATCGTCATCACCCGCAATTACGTCAGCAAAGAGATGTAATAGTTCATCCCAATTTCTGTTGTTGCCATTCTCTTCTTGTTTGCCCTCTGAGTCTGATCCCTCCATGGTAAAAAAAAAATATATCCTATCGGTTGAGAAACATCATTATATGCTGAAGCGGTGAATTTTCCAGAAGATAACGACAATTTCAGAAGCAATTTTTTTTCAAAACTCTTACACAGTTAAACAAGGTCCCGACTCCCGAATGCTGCAGTTTGAGAGTAGAATATGATCAAAATTTGGATGAAAACTAGAAATATCAAACCCAACCACCAAAACTCATTGAATGGAACCTGGAATCTATTAAGCTTTATGAAATCTCACAAAATTCAGAAATATGTCAAAATCAGAGGAAATCAGAGAAAACATACCAAACATAATCGGTGCAAAATCGGTATTACAATTGCACTTTTGGCTAAACAAGCAAGCTGGTAACTTAAAAATCAACGAAATCCGAATTCGTTTATCAGTTCTGAAACAAAACTGCAGGAAGATTGTTCGAATTTCCGCCACTAATTAGCAGAATTGAACCCTAATTTCAAATAAATTTTCGAGAGAGAGAGAGAGAGAGGCGTGCCTTGTTTCGCAGATACTGTTCGTCGTCGTTTACACCGTCGGGAGGAGATGGAAATTGGAATGAAGAAAGGGGCTTCTTCGAACCAAATTGGTAATTTTAGGCCCAAATTTGGGGGTTTTATTATGTTATATGGGCTTCTTTTTAGCCCATTAATTTGGTGGAATATTCCCCTCCCAGAGGAATATTCTTCATCCGGTCTAGCTATTTTTGCTCTTTCTTTTATTGACTTTTGTCAACGCCTAGTGAAATAAATTTTGATTTAGACAATCACAAATCTGATATTTCATAAAGTGGGATTGTTTATTACTAGATTATTGCAAGAGACAAAAATAATATATTGTTGTGAAATTAAAGAGAACATAGTAAAATCAAATTGAAAGAGCCACTCAATCGCGCAGAGAATTAACATGGTTTTGATTGAGAAACAACCAAACATCAGGGGAACGATAAAAAACTGGACTTTTATTAATGAATCAACGAATGGATTACAAGCTCTCAATAAATAAGTAAAAGAAAAGGCTTCATAAAATCCTAAAAATGGCAACTAATATTTTTCTCTTTCGTTTCGTATTCAGTTACAGAAATAATATGTATTTCCGTTTGTTCTCTATTTGCACACAAGACATGCTTTAATACTCTCTCCCGGGCCATCAACCAACTTGCACGTGAGAATGTACTACATGATCCGTTGCATTCATCTAAATATGTTCAATTGAAGCTCCTAGATAAACAGATTTTGCGAGCTCAGCAAGATTCACTCGTACATGGCATGTGCAAGCAACCGTTGGATCAACGCTTCCAAACATACATATAAATAAAATAATTGATTGTATTAAAAAAAAAAAAAAAAAGAAAGATTATACAAATATAGATAGATTCTTTTGGTGTGGTGGCCGAGTCAGTGTCGTAGGTTATGGTATGGGAGGCCCAGCTGGTGGCGTGTGGTTGGCAAATGCTGTTCTTTTTATTACAAGGAATCTTAATTAGATCCCATGAATCTGATCATTTTTTTTTCACTTAGATAAACTGAGAGATAGGTTGAAAGTGGGTTGAATACTGCTAAGTCTGTAACTGTGAAGGAATCTTGTGGGCCCATAGTAAAAGATTGTGAGGTGGGAATTCTTTAGCAGAAGTTTAATCCCATTTGAACTCTCCCCCTACACAATAAATATAATTTTATTATTATCAAATGAAATAATGGCCACTCTTTTTATTTCTTTTTTAATTTCTCTCCATTTATTTTATAATATATAGTCATCAACTTCAGTGTTACAACCTTTGCAATATTCTCAATAGTGCTGCAGCAGTCTTACTAATTAGAAAATAATCAATTCAAGAATAAATTAGAAAAAACAGGTAATCAATCTTGATTGGTTTAATATTAATAATAATAATAATAATAATAATATAAATGATTATTGACTCTGTTTTTCTTTTTTCTTTTTTCTTTTTTGGTTCAGGAGATGGAGAAAATTGGATACGGTTTATACAGCCAAGGAAGCAGCGGTTGGACATCGATGCGTAACGAAGAATTCCACGAGGGAGATGTTTGGGCAGTTTTCGATAACGAAACAAAAGATTCCGATACTGGCATCAGTATCGGAATCGGAATCGGAACCGGAATCAGAAAAGATTCCGGCACATCATTAGCCAGAACAAGACCAAGATCCAGCAACACGGAGAATTATGGAATTATCGTGCAACACTCGGCCCCGATTAAGATACGGCGGCCAGCTGACTGGTGGTCGAAAATATATATAGACAATAATTCCAGGAATATAGATTCTTCTTGTTCATGGTGGCTGTGTGATGCCGATTCCGATGACGATGGGAATGACGATGCCAGCTGGGAAAGCGAGGAAGAAGACGGTGGAGGAGGGGATATGATTCCGCCACACGAATGGATCGCGAATAGGTTATGTTCGTTTTCGGTGTGTGAAGGAGCTGGAAGAACACTCAAAGGCAGAGATTTAAGCAGGGTGAGAAATGATGTACTCACCAAAACTGGTTTTCTTGAATCACAACCCAATTATATTTAATTATTAATTAGACACTGTTTTTTAATTAGTATATGTGTACACTAGGAAGTCATGAAAACATGGCTGATTAAGTGCTAAGATAAATGGTAATTGATGAAGCTTCCTCTGGTCGGGTCACCGGGTGCATCCGCTGGATAAACCCGTCGGGTCTCGGGTCCAGGTCGATGCAGGGTAGTCAACGGGACGGGTCTAGGGCAAGAGGGACCCGTGGCCGTGTCTAATTAAGTGTGAATGTTGCCTCATAAAGATGTGTAGTATAAAATGAGAAAGCATTAGATCATTTGTGACATGTACTATTATTCTACACTATTTCAAGTTGAACCTAAATATATGAGTCCAATATCCAAATAGAGGTGTGAACGAGCCGAGGTCGTCAATTTTGGCAGGCTCGAGAGCCCGAGCCCAAACTCATTTTGTGTATTTTTTTTTTATTAAATTTTATTATTCAAAAAAATTTAGATTATAATAAAATAAATTCAAAATAAATAAACAATAACGAATTAAAAAAAGGCTCGTGAGCACGAGTTCGAGCCGGCTCATCGAGCTCACGAACGGCTCAGCTCGTTTACCACCCTCAAGTTGATCCATAACAAGACAAGAAAATTAATGCAACCCTATGATGTAAAATAAGCACCAATTAGAATAATATAATGGAATACCAAATCACAGTCATCATCACGTGGAACTGTACCTAATTTAAGTACATTCATTTCTTTTGTTATTAAAGAAAAATAAAAAAAATCAAACTCAACATTAATTCATATACAATCATTCACACAACACGAATATAGTATATATATATGGATATTTATTTATAAATAAACAAATAGAAAAAGGACGTTGCTAATTAATTAGTACTAATTAAAAGCTTAATTGCAAGCTAATTAATTAGTTGCAAGCGACCACTTTCCTCATTTGTTGAAACAACACATTAGTTGTTAGCACATTTACTTATTGCATTAATAATTCTTGTCCATCTTCACGTAGGAGTACGTGGCTAGCCTCGGCTCAGCTTAAAAAACATGGCTAAGCTCGAGATCAGCTCAATCTCCCTTCCACGTAAGCCCTTCAGCTCCATCATCGCCAGCTCTTTAATTTCCTCTATTTTCCCTTCCAAATCCACCCCATGATTCTTCTCCGCCGCCGCCGCCGCCGCCGCCGTTAACCCCCGTACCATGCCGGCGTAAACCCCAAACTTCCTCAACTTCTCTACCTCCTCTTCGGCCCCGCCGCCCAATACGGCTCCGCAAGCGGCTCCGCAGCCGTGCAGCTCCCCATCTCTCTTCCTGCAAACATATTCCATAACTTCGTAGTCATAATAATTCCCATCGGTTGCGCCGAGTTTTCTGTACAGCCCAGCCACAGCTCCCTGTGAGCCGACGGCTCTCGTGATTTCTACCATCACTCTCACGATTCTGTCAGGGTCGTTTCGGGTCCGGTCCAGAAACGAACCGGCCAGCAGCCCGAGCCCAAGAGGAATCAAACCGTCTCCGATCAGAAGCTCGATGCCCGGGCTGTACTTGTGTTCGATTTCGGGTTCGGGCCCGGGCCTACCCGTCTTCATGAGTGGGAGATGCTCGTGGGTGTAGGCCGCCGCGTGCATGAGGTGCACCGCGGCTGCCGCCGCCATGGCTTGACGCCGGTCGCCCCCAACGAGCTCGCACGCCGCCACGCAGAGAGCGGCGGCACCGGTCCTTGGGGCGGCGAAGATGAGGTGGTGCATGGGCCCGACAACCGACGCCGGCGAGTTTACGGGGATGGCTTTTTTGAGATATGTATCGATGTCGGCCTCAATTGAAGCCCAATAAGCTGATTTGTTTTGGGCTGCAGCAATAATTCTTCTAGGCTTATAATTTGTTTTACTACTCCATTTTGATTTCGACAAGAAATTTGCTTTGTGATTGAAGTGCGAGAGACACGTGGCCATTTTTTTTTTTTCTTCTCTCTTTTCTTAATATTGTGGGAGAAGGATTTTGAACAGGAAAGACGATAGCTAACTATATTTACAAAGGGGCATGAATTTGAAGCAGTGGTGTAAACGAGTCGAGCCAGCTCAAATAAAAGTTCGAGCACAAGTTCAAATTTTATGAACTCAAGCTTTCAGATGAGCTCGAGTTGTATTCCATCTTTAATTGTTCGTAAGTTTATGTATTTCGTATATTGCATTTTTAATATAAAGATAACTAATATGGAATAGTATAAAATTAAATTATAAGTTTACCAATTATATTTTTTTATTCTATAACTTTTTTACTATCGTCTCATAAACAGTTTGTAATAAAAAATAATATTGATATTATGTAAAAGTCAAAAAAAATGAAATGAGTTGAGTTCGACATGCGCGACTCGACTTGAGCTCAAGTTTGAGCCAAATTCCACTCGAACTCGGACTCAAAAAAATTGGCGATCGAGTTCGGTTTGTTTATACCCCAAAAGAAGATATTAGAAATGTATGTTTAAGTTTTTTAGTTATTTGTTTTTAAACCTTAATTATAGTGACGTATATGCATTTTGGGCCATGTCTTTTTATGTTGTGTGCAATTGGGCCTGTGCATGTGTTCGAATGGTGTCTGAATTGTTGAGGTGCAAACATAGTACTACAGTGTTTTAATATGAGAAATATTAGAGGATATCAATTCTATTGGTACGTGGCCTTTTGGAAAATTCAAGAACAAAATTTATTGGGTTTGACCTAAATTGAATATTATTGATATGTGCCAATTCAATGGGTCTGTAATTTATTTACATACTGGGCCACGAGCTCGATATTAAAGACTACTATCATCGATGTTCAATCACCTTCAAATAAAATTTGAGTCCAATAATTTTAACTATTTAAACTTAAGCTCAATCAATGAGGCATAAATAAAGGTTTTAACTCATGCCTTAAGGTACGTTCAACATTCGAAAATACAACCGATCGTATTCTATCTACGACTTTTGCTATCCACACACACTTGAGTGTAGTTTCCGCCGGATCAACTCCAGCTTGGTTTACGTGTTCTCTGATCGCAGGTATCTCAAGGTCATCAAGTTACTGTGATCCACTATGCTCTTCAGCTCATCCTACTTCAATAATTATTTAAGGTGGTCTATTTCCAGCATCATCAAATATCATATTACTGAGGAATTTATATTATCCTGTGGGGCCCCGACAATGGTATCAGAGCCATGGCCCAAACTTAATCATGTGGTGGAAATTGCCGAAAATTTTCGATGTCGAACAAATACGGGGAGCTTCCGGTGCGCAAATGGCAGACGACTCGAAGAGCTTCGGATGGGAGGCTTGGTGTTCTTTTGTTCGAGAGTCGAGACCCAGTGCACCGAACAAAGATGGTGTGGGCCCCATGGTGCAAATTGATGGAAGGCTCGATGGCCATTTGTGGTTCGATCTATATGGTCTTTTGTCCGAGAGTAGAATTGTTTAGATGCAAACATAGTCATGTTTAACATGGCATAGCGGGTGTTTTGCGTCTGTATAAAAATATGAGTTGTTAAAACTTAAACGCATACAATTTTTTTTGGTTGCTTTTAAGTTGTTGGGTAGGAGAAGTGGGAGTAGTAGTACTAGTAAAGACACAGTATATAGACTTTGCTTACAGTTGTACAAAGCAAAAAAGCAAATACCAACCATTTTCAGTCACATGCCATACACGTGATGTCTCAGCCTTGTGTCTGTGTTATATTCTCTAAAGTATTTTTGATAAATTATAAAGATTATTATTAATGTTTTATTTTTAATCCTACATTTTTATTTAAAATTTTATAATAAGTAAAAATATTTTGTATTTAATCCAAGCACTTTAAAAATTAATACGTAACAACTTATCAACCCTAAAAACAGCTTATCGAATGTAAGAGTTTATCAAATTTTTAGAATAAATTTAACCAAACGAGCCCTAATTATGATGTGTGGTCATGATACAGTACAAGTGAGTTATTATCGATATTTAGTTATTTATAGTTGATTACTTGTATTAAAAGTTGCGATATTTTTCAAATTTATCGATATACATATATAATAAATTAATAGTAATAAAATACTACCAAATATGAGGCTATATTTGTCATTCACGTTTAGTTTAAGTAGTGAAATATGATTATAGTGGATATCATGTCACACTTTTTTGACATGATCCATTGTCAAACAAATTATTAGTTGATTACATTGTTGGTCAACAATAAATCGGAATCTCAACTGGATGACCATCTCAACCAAAAGCTTAAGCTGTTAGTGAAATGTATCATTTAGTATTAATATCTCCAACACGCCCCCTCAAGTGCAGGCGAATTACATTTGAAGCTTTGCACTTGAAATATTTGAATTGGGTGGCGGTGGGATTCGAACTCAGGACCTTTTATTTGGCCTGGCTCTGATACCATGTTGGATGACCATCTCAACCAAAAGCTTAAGCTGTTAGTGAAATGTATCATTTAGTATTAATATCTCCAACACCACCAACTCGAACCATCAAATGAGCTGTTTCAAGAACTACTTGTCACCCACTGCAGACAACATCGTTATTTGTTTTATTTAGATTTTTAGGTCCTCATTTGATTGTTAAAATATGATTAGGTCAACTTAGGAGTTAATGACTACATAATTTTGTTGATGTAATAAGAGAAATCTGTTTTTATCCGAGTTCGAACTGTTTTGTCAAAATTTTTTAGGTCAAACTCGTCACACATAAGTAGTCTAATATGATTCCACTGCAATTTAGCTAGTGCACTTCGAGTTGGTGTGATTCTCTTGTCACTGAAAAAAATATCAATTATATAAGATGATTAATTTAATTTAACCAGCTGAACGAAGCCTCAACGATATTTTAAGTGACTACAGACGGATTTTCATTTTATCATAATCATTCAACTAACAAACACCATTTGCGAAAAAAGAATGTTACGAGCATCTAAACTACATTAGAATATGAGGGATGTAAACCACATTAGAATAATCATGCATGTAGGGGCGGAACCAAGATGAAAATGTAGGGGGGGCTAGCTAAAATTTCGGGGTTCGGGGTTGCTCCCCGAAATTTTTTTTTAGGTTCACAAGACATTGCAAAAATAAATTTTTATTGATATGTTTTAATTAAAACGTCATATATAATAATTTTATCGTATTTTAAGCATGAAAAAAAAATTTAAATTAATTCAAATTATTTTAATAATGTATCGTGCTTAATATTTTGGGGATTCATGGCATCGTCTCATATTAATTTTTAGAGTTATTGATAAAAAAATTCAATATGTAAATATTCATAAATTTTATTTCAAATTAGACAAGTTTTCACCATTTTATTTTATATATATATGATATATATATGGAGAAGAAACAAAAAAATTAAGGATTAAGATACATATTTGCAAAAACTTTTGGAGGCCTAAAAGTAATATACAAAAAATACAGTGCCAAAATACTTAAAAATATAATTTTTTTTTAATCTTGGGGTGTCAACAGCCCCCCAGCCCCTTCTATATTCCACCAATACATGCGTACCAATACATGCGTGACAAGCTCGATCTAGCAACCGTTGATGGATCAGTACATGACACACATTTGTCACCTGTACTTGCAAGAGCTTGACAATTGACAAATAACAAATTAATTTTATAATGATATTCTACAAGGAGAGAAGCTCATCTATTTTATTGCATATAGGGTCAAACAGTAATTAAATGAAATTACTAGTGTTAATTTGACCAAATACAGGTTGGGTCAAGTCTATGACCTGTAAAATTTCATGATTGAGAAGAGAGTCACGTGCTTTTACACGTGCACCATGTGTGCAGTTAATCATTGATCTCAATCCAGATTTCACACACAATTGGAATGATTATCTTCTTTTTAAGACACAAAATTAATGTTGAACAACTGTAGTTCAATTTCTGCTCATGAATTTTCCATGCTATTTACTCGCTTTGGACCTTTTAGTATAAGTTGAATGAGTTTAAGCTTGTTAATCGTACATCTTGCAAACTAAATAATTAATTAATTATTAGTGAATTAATTCAATTTCATCTAATTTATATTATTACGAGATATGTAACCAAAGTTCAGTTCATAGTGGATTCGATCCGAGGCTAGAATATGAAATCCAACAACATATTATACTGACGGGCTCATGCCTAAAGACTCATATCGACAAGTCTATAGAGACACACAAATCAAACCCAAATATACTCAAACTAATAATATAAGTTTAATTTGGCTAGGACCCAAGTTGACTACAATATAAACAGTCATATCCACTTGGCTCGATTAAAAGACAGTCATGCTCAGTTGGCCCGATTAAAAGACGTAAGCCCATGAAAATATATTTCTCCATACAAATACTCATAACACTCATAATTAAAGTTACGGAATTCACAAATCACGAGATGTCTCTTGAATTATCTGAACTGAATTGAGCGTCCGTGAATTTTTCCGCTCGGATAAAGCCCTGGCCGGCTCCCTAACAAATAGTGCCCACACAAAAAAAATAAGAATTCAATGGAGGAACTGCGAGACGTGACGTGAAATTGAACCACAGCATACATAACGAAGCAACATTTGCGAAAATAAAATAGAAATGACATTTCTTCCACAAAAAACAGAGAAAAGAAAGCACAATAAAATTGAAATTTATGAATAAAACAAATAATAATAGTCAGTCTTGGAAGCAGTTCACCGACATTGTACCTGAGCTATGGGGGGTGGGAAAGGAGGTTCATAATTAATGAATAATTTAATTAAGTAATTAATTAATAAATAAATATACCCGCAAATTTAGAAAGAAAAAAGAAAATTATAAAAAGAGGGGCATGGAAGAAAGCATAGTGCAGTTGGGTGGGCGGTGGGTCTAAATTCTATTCTTCTCAAATTCCACACACCACCACTCCCCACTTCATCTTCTTCCTCAATTCTTCCTTCCTCTTCCATTTTTCCATTACCAGAGAAGTTTTTTTCTGTTATCTAAATTCACACACAGTCAAGTAACACTCCATGCGTTTTTTGAGAAAAGAAAAAACGAATTTACAGACCCCTCATTGACCCAAAAAAGTCATTTCACCCCTCTTCTCTCTCCTGATCTCCTCCAAAATCGATGTAATTGTGCCGATATTTTCAGTTTTGTTGTTCTGATCTTTGTGTTGTTCTGACGATTGAGCGGCTTCTGGATCTGTTGCTTGAGTTGATTAGCTCGGTTTTTTGTTTGGGGAATTTTGGATGGGTTGTGATTAATTTGAGCAATTTGAGGGATTTAATCCGGAAAAAAAAGGGGGAAGTATGTCTTGGAAGAACAGAGGATTGGATTCGAATTCTAAGAATGTTGTTTCGAGGAAACTTTCTATTTTCCTCTGTATTGGCTGCTTCTGTGCTGGGATGCTTTTCACCGACAGGTTTGATCTTTTGGAGCCCTTATAATTTTTTTAATGGATTAGTACTTAGTAAAGCATATTTTAGTGATTAAACTTTTTTTAATTGTAATTGGCAATCATAACTAGCTATGATGCCCAAATAATTATGCTATGATTTGATCATTAATCCAGTGATGGATTTCATCATATTCAAATTTATGTGGGATCCCAATTGTGAAGTGCACTGCTAAATAATGATGGACCACCACTGAAGTCGAATATACATTTCGCAGTTTCGATGTAGCTTTATTTGATGTAGTTGGTTAAATCTTTCCATCTGCCTTGCAGTTCTTGGAACTTCAATGTTATTCCGGTTCGAGTTTTAGAAGCGAACTTCTGTTTATTCCGTCTTTTGAGCTTATTATTATTATTCTGGACCTCATTCTTCCAAGATAATATAGCATCAGTCATACTTACAATAGCATTTCAACTATGTATGTATCTCTGATGTGTTTGTCTTTATTACTGTTAGGATGTGGGCGGTACCAGAAGCTAAAGACGTATCAGGATCAAGAGGGACTCTAGACGAAAAGCTTAAGTTAGTTTCAGATGGTTGTGATCCAAAAGTTGTGAGTACATGCTAATCAGAATTGAACTTTAGCCATGGAATATTTTTTTGCTGTATATGTGCAGAGAAGATTTACTTCTTTTGTCGTTTTATGTTTTTGTCAGAATGTAAAAGACAGGTCCAAGGATGCGTTCGGTGAAGTTTCGAAGACACACGATGCTATTAAGTAAGCATCTTTAGATCCTAGGATGTTTGTTTTCGTTATATCACCAGAGATTTAAAATCACCCGTAATTCATAACCGCCTATCAAATGCAGCACGTTGGATAAAACAATTTCAAATTTGGAAATGGAGTTAGCTGAAGCAAGGGCTATACAGGATTCTTTACTGAGCAGTTCCCCGATATCTGAAGACCTGAAAATGCCCGAGTTGACCAAGAAAAGAAAATATGTGATGGTGGTTGGCATAAATACTGCTTTTAGCAGTCGAAAGAGAAGAGATTCGATACGCGCTACTTGGATGCTACAAGGTGCTTTGTACTTCCATTCTTTTCTGTGTCTTGCAAATTTTTTCTGTTTATTATATTGGAATGGTGAAGTTATTCCTAATTTGTGATTCTGCTCATTTGGGAATTCAGGTGATAAACGAAAAAAGCTTGAGGAAGAAAAGGGAATTATAGTTCGATTTGTGATTGGTCACAGGTAAGGAATAGATAGGTTACTAATTCAAGATTAAGGAATTTTTTTTTCACTCATACACTTTTTGTGAATCTTTGCTCGGATTATTTTTTTATGGGAAAACTACCCTAATATCATTCTCACTCTTACGGTGCCTGCGCATTCAATTTTTAATGACGTCTAATTTTCACCTTTCCCAATTTGATTCTCTGGTTGGCAGTGCAACATCAGGTGGTATTCTTGATAGAGCTATCGAAGCAGAAGACAGGAAACATGGAGATTTTATGAGATTGGTATTTCTCTTGATAATATACCTCATATGTATATCCTTTTTATATGAAGCTTACGTATCGGTGCATTATGATTTTCCAGGAACATGTTGAAGGATACCTTGAACTATCAGCAAAAACAAAGACCTACTTTACCACGGCTGTTCAACTTTGGGATGCAGATTTCTATGTTAAAGTTGACGATGATGTGCATGTAAACATAGGTAAGAAGCAAATACTGTGTACCTTCAAAACTTGCCTATCGAGCAAGTATTCATCTCACTCCACTTGCATTCAAGATTTCTATCAATTGAAAAAATCTGTTTTGTTTAATTAGTTGCTATCACTTACTATTTGAGTAGTGAAGAACATTTTCCCAATTACTTTATGATGCGTTGAATGCAGCAACGTTGGGAGCAACTCTAGCTAGGCACCGCTCAAAAGAAAGGGTATACATAGGATGCATGAAATCCGGTCCAGTCTTGGCTCAAAAGTAAGCAAAGATTCTCTCAATCTTATTCTGTTAATGAATTCTCAAAAAATGTAATTATATTGTATATGTTAGCTTTTGTTGCTCACTATGGTTTTGTCATTCTATTCATGATAGGGGAGTAAGATATCACGAACCCGAGTATTGGAAATTTGGCGAGCAAGGAAACAAATATTTCCGTCATGCTACCGGCCAATTATATGCTATTTCTAGAGATTTGGCTACCTATATATCGAAAAACCAGTGAGTATTTCCCTTACCTTTCTCGTTGTATATCTATAACCTATATTCATGCATTGTATCTTATTAGTTTCATTTTGTAGGCATTTTCTGCACAAATATGCAAACGAGGATGTCTCGCTTGGAGCTTGGTTCATTGGATTGGATGTCGAGCATATAGATGACCGAAGATTATGCTGTGGAACACCTCCTGGTAAGTGCTAACATATTTTTTTTTTGGCTTAAAAATATATTCATTTACCAGAATTATAAATTATATTGTTCCTCAATTAAAAAAAGAGATAGAAAGTTAAAAGCATATTAAATACAATGTGAAAAAAATGCTGGTGAAAACATGCAGATTGTGAGTGGAAGGCTCAGGCAGGCAACGTCTGTGTGGCTTCGTTCGACTGGAGCTGCAGCGGGATCTGCAATTCTGCGGATAGGATAAAGGAGGTGCACCGTAGATGCGGTGAAGGTGAGCACACTCTATGGAATACGGCTTTCTGATCGTTATCGTGTATCGTTTTTGGATATGGATGCACCCAAAGAATATTCCACCACCGAAGAAAATGCGTTATATTGTCCTATCTCAGGACAAGGCTTTAAGAGGAGCTAGAAATTTGACTGTTTTTACGGCGTTTTCTGTTTTTCTTTTGTTACGTAAAAAAATTACGTGTAATATAAGTGTGTACAATACGAGTGAAGGGGGGGTAGAAAGGTTGCGGTAGAGATCTGCTCTGTTTTTAGCCTGAGGAGATTGTTCGGTATAGCAACTATACATATTATAGCATTTAGGAGCAAAGTGTAATCCATTTTACTGTATCTTTAGGCACTAGAGGAACTCTTAAATAAGTGCCTTTTCTTTATCCGTATTTTTCGCTGCTTTCTTCGTTTTATAGGGTAACTAACTATTTTGCCTCCAATTATGTAATCCCGTCTTTTTCGTTTATTTCTTCGTTACTTCAGTTGACCCGAGATCTTTAACTTACTGTATTACCTAATCAACGAAATATCGATCAATCCATCAATAACACTAGTAAAGAAAATACTAATTGACGACGTTTGTTTTGCTGTCGTCATTGTGTGTTAAATAGACCTCCTACTCAGATTCACATAATCATCGAGTCAATTCATGAACCCAAAGGTACAAATCGGCTGTTTGGATCGGAATTGATATTTTCGAAAAGAAAAAATTTTAATCGGAAGTGAAAACCGATTTTCCAAAATCGGAAATTCAAAAATGAAATGATTTCCACCCACTGAAGATACAAGTAGGAAATTTTAATAGAATAGATGGCACCTCACTGATAACATGATTAATTCAGAAGACTTTAATCACGCAACGCAATAATAAGTCCAGAAAATGAGTCCCTACCAAATTACTACAGCCTTGACAAAAATCAAAAAAGCCAAGGGAAGAAGGACCACCCTCTAAAATAGGCAAGCTTCAAACAAGTGGAATTTCCTTAAAATTAAATAAATAAAAAAACCTAAAAGATAATATAATCCGTAATTATATTTTCTTTACCAAATGTAGGATGATCGATCGAATCACGGATATTGCGTAAAATATACGGTAGCAAACTTTTTCGTTAGCGTGACTCGTCTCTTAGTGTAATGTAGCTAAGCCATGCCCGAGCGGGCAAAGTCCCTGTCTGAGGTTTATTCTATGATATATATACATTTATTGAATAATATCTTATTTGTATTTATTCAATCTACGGTTTTACATGAACCCCCACATATTTATGTGCATAATAATGAATTATACATTACTATGGCACCATGAAAAATTTACCTGGTGCAGAGTATGCAAGACAGTCTGGTAGTGAGTTTGTATCTATTGTTCGGAAAAAAAAAATAGTACATTAGAGTCAATATTAACGAAGCTAGAATTTTAAGTTTGTGGGAGCCGAATACTCTGAATAGAGAGCAATCTTACAAGTGTTGCACCTAATGAAAAAATATACAATATAGTTTTTTCACGTTTAGTATACACACAGACGTATCTGAATGTGCGTAAAATATGTATGAATCTGTACACACGTGATAGTAAAATATAATCTAATATAAAACTCAAATGTTATGACATAGAATAAATAGAACAGAGCCCATGTGGTTTCACTAAACCTTTACCTCATTGAGTCTTTATTTATTTATTTTTTTAACCCTCACCCCCCCCCTCTCTCTCTCTCTCTCTCTCTCTCTCTATCTCTCTCTCTCTCTCTCTCTCTCTCTCTCTCTCCTCCTTTTAAAGCTTAACTGGCATTGGTGCATTTTAGAGAGGTGTAGCGAAAGATGGGAATTCTGGGGAGCGATGTATCCAACCTACAAAAAATGGATTTTTATATTAGATTGTTTGTAGTTCCATTCAATATTGCTTGCATATGGATTGCTCTCACTGCCAAACAGGATAATCCCACTTATGGAAATTTGGAGTTCAAAGATTTCATTGGCCTCAAGTTAAGTTTTTTTTTTCTTCTTTTCTTATGCTGTATATATTAATATATTCATATTTTCTTATTCTAAATTTAATTTAATTTTTGTTTTTTTGGGGGTGGGGTTGCAGGTACATGGTTTTTATCAGCGCCATATGTGGTGGATATGCACTATTTGCTGCTGTTTCTTCTTGGCTGAGATGCCTCCTTACCAAAGCATGGCTTTTCTTTATCACTGACCAGGTTTTTTAATTTATTTATTTATTTATTATTATTATTTTTGTTATTAGAAAAAAAAAATATTCTTTACCCATCCCCCACTAATTTCCACATATATCTCATAATTGAAAAAAAATAAAAATTAATTAATTAATGAAGAAAGAAAGACATGTGCTTAACACTGCTGCATGTCTAATTGGTTGCATAATTTCATAGCAGGGATGGTAGGTTGAGGCAATAAATTTTTCCCAACTATGACCAATTTAATTTCTATCTTCCAAAATTCTGAATCTTGAATATACGGTTGTGTATCATTATGGATTTTTTCTCACACTGGGGCCCACCTCATTTTTAATACAATATACTAAAAACCCCACTTTTTTTAAAAAAAAAGTACTTTTTAGCCCTTTCGATAAATTGATAACAATAACTATCTAAGGCTATGTTACATGATCATACTCCAACTTCTTACACTTTCTTTACTATTTTTTATTTCAAAAATAAATAAATTAATTAAAACGCGATTCAATAGCAAAACTTCAAATATTTTTGTTGCATATATCTTTAATTATTTACATGATTTATTAATCAATTGCAAACCCATACTCCATTTGTTCCATAATAACCGTCTTTAAAAAAAAAATTTTACGTCATATTACCTGTCACTTTAGATTTCCAACATTAAATTAAATGCATTTTTTCTGGTTTTAACCTTATTAATTCAACTCTCACTATTAATCCTCTCTTATCACATCATTCAACGATCAAGGTTATTTCAGTCTTCTTAATTTGTTTTTCCCCTAAAATCAAGACATATTTATTGAGATTCTTAATACTTGTGCAAAACTGAAAAACGACAATGAATCAGGAATCGCAGGAGTAGTTGATAGACGATACTAGTATTTATTTGAATATATTTGTATAAAAATACATGTAAACTTTTTTTTTTAATATATCAAATTATAATTTACAATTACACCCCTATATTTTTAATATTTACATTTACTGCCCACATCCCCAACTCCTACTTGTTGTTGTTGGCATCTACTAGGCAATATTAACATTGTGTTGTCCCCTTGCACTATAACATTGATTAATAAATACTGGTGAAAAACAGGTGTTAGCATACTTGATGATGTCATCAATGGCGGCACAAGGGGAGTTTATGTACTTGGCCTACAATGGAGATCGAGTGGTTTCGTGGAGCCAAGCATGCGATTCTTACGGCGAATTCTGCAGCAGAGTGAAGCTCGCTTTGTCTCTGCATGTAATCGCTGTTTGCTGTTTCCTCGTACTCGCTGTAATATCTGCTTACAGGGTTTTTAGGAAATTTGACCTTCCTTTTGATCCACCTTCTTCTAAAGATGCTGAACAGTAATTTTATTAGGACTTTTATTTAATTTATTTTTAAAAATATATATATAATATATATTATCAGACGATTTATTTTCTTTTGCAACTGACAAAGTTTCTCATGTTTTAGTACTGTGTTATATGTGTGGATTGGTGTTTTGTAATGATTTTTTACTTTGTCGTGATTTAATTTATGTTTCGAATTTCCTATCCTATTTTCTAATTGTAACATTTTTTTAGAACAATCCTCAATATTATAAGTACCTTGGTTGCCCTCCATCTGAAGTGTCTGAAATGCCCTCCATTAATTGATTTTGTATATTTTTTTTTTCCTCTTTTTCGTTTTAGCTATATATCTAATCAAACACCCATTATTCCTCTTCCCATTATCTAATTACAGTTCCCAAACATGTTTGGATTTTCCCCAAATTACGACATAAAATCGAAAAAACGTCTTGTTCAACATTTGTTCACCTTTTTGCGCCACCGTAGCTCTGTGTATTTACATTGCCACCATTTTAGCTCTCTACCCCATGCCCGAAAAAATCGATGTATATGGTTGATGATGTGTAATAATCACCTATAATAGATATAGTCGAAGAGATGAATCGGATCACTAATCACGTGCTAGAAAGTCTTGAGACACCTTAGTAATCTGGAGATTCCTGCGTAAAAAGTAAACGTGAACTAAATCGGGGGTTAATTCGGCGGAAGCCCCTCCGATGCTTAAGTCAGATATTAGGATTGTGAAATAGTCAAGAGAATCGTAATATCTGGATTGCTTGAGTATATATAACATACCTTAATTTAATGAATTAAGTTCTATTTATAGTTCCTTGATTGTGTCGATATTAATTTATTGGGCTTTTGTAGTAATAACTTTTGAACTGAGCCCGTGGCCCAGTAAATAAATAAATCATAGTTCCATTGGGTTGGCCCGATAAACATATCAATCGTGATACTCAACAACCCTTGGTTGAAGTGCTAGGATATTGTCGTCACCAAAATCATCATTTTTTTGTCATTGCAATCAAGAGCAACGAGACTCTGAAAGAGTTTCTTGGTACTGCAACAGAATAGTGTGGATACAGATCTAAATTTCGTTGATTCTTCAATATCCAGCCACGCGTGAAAGATTTTGTGTGTGGGTGTCGGTTCACAACGGATCTTAACTGCAATGAGCTATGTACTTATATTAAAAGTAAGGGTAAATTCCAACCACCCATGAGGTATGGTTAAATTACAAAAAACTCCTCATGTTTGGGTAATTACAAAAACCCCCCTCAACTATGAATCTTCTTACACGTCCACCCTTGCGGTTTCAAATTTAGTGGAATTTTCGAGATTATATGAAATATTATCACTTTTGTACCTGTTTTATCCCATTCAAACTCCACATTTTGAAACAAGATGATCGTAATATGTGCTTTTTGGCTTGTATATATCAGATTGTGGTGCATCAAAAACTGTATTTTTACACAAAACGAGTACAAACTAGAACACATTCCACGAAACCTAAATGAATATGTTGAATTTAACACCATAAGGGTGGAGATGTAAGAAAAAATATTAGTTAAGGGGTGGATGTAATTATCCAAACAAGAGGAGTTTTTTCGTAAATTAACCATACTTCAGGGGTGGTTGTAATTTACCCTAAAAGTAAAGAAGGGTCATGTGCACAAAATTTAAACTAAAGAGGATCATATAATTATATTAAAAAAACAAAGGAGTTATGTACAAAACTTAAAATACAAGGGGCTTAAGTACTAACATAAAGTTCCCATATCCAAATAAATCAATTATTGCCGCAACCCTACGCAATCGAAGAGAGAAGAAACAAACGCATAAATTATTGCCCTCAATATATATATATATATATATATATATATATATATATATACAGACTCTGCTCAAAAGTAAACTCTATCGTTTCCTTCCCCAACACGTATGTATATCTAATTTATCCTTATATATATTCGATTTTATTTCTTTGCCCTGTATCTCTAGAACCCTAATTTTGTTTTCGTGTTTTCTCTTTGATTCTTTCTTCCTAGTGCGCAGCATATCTTTGATTTCAACGGAAAACATGGCCAAAACCTCCTTCAAGCTGGAACACCCCCTCGGTATTGATTTCCTTTCTTCCGATCGTCGTTTAATCTAACCCTAATTTTTCCGGATTACTGTTTTTTTATTTATTTTTTATTTCGTTGATGATCGATTCTGTAATCTATGTTATTGGTGTTGATTTTTTTTTGTTGAATCGTGCTGCTGTGCGCAACTTTTCGTGTTTCGTTGTACACACGCGCGTGATCTGTACGCTTTGATGCTTTACGTGTGTTAAGCGACTCAATTTTGAGTTTTTTTTTTATTCCGATTGTTTAGATTTGTGGTACATGCGATTATCTGGTCTTTTTTGTCGAATTATGCGAGTTGACTCTGATGAATTGTCACTGACTATGATTTGTAAGCTGTTTTCGTGTGTTGATCTAAAGGAATTGAAAAAACCTCCGGGAATTTTCTTTTTTTTTTACCGATTCGTGATTGGATGCTGTTTGAAACCCTCTGTGCTCGTAATTTTTGTTTGTTCATTGAGAAATTCTATCCCCTGTAAGAGGTGAAGTTGTATTTGATATTCACTTTTTTCACCGAGGAAGAATTTTGCCACAATGTCAGTTTTAGTTAGCTAGAATGTAGATGGTATAGTTAAAACTTATTTGCTACCCCAGAAAGAATGAGTTGGATTAATTAGTCTCTATCTTATCTTGTATTGTCTTGGAGTTCTGATAATTAGGGCTCAACGGAATTGCTCAAAAATCCGATTTTCACTAAAAAAAAATATCGAAGGAGGGTTAATTTAAAGTCATGTGAACTTCAGCTTATTATGCCCACTGTTTATTGAGTTTGCACCTAATATAAGTATACAACTACACAAGTAATTGCTCTAAGTTTTAAGAAAATAAAAAGGCTTTTTCTTGATGGTCGATCGAAAGAAATTTGGCAGCAATGTGTGCAGTTTTAGACACGTGAATGTTGTGATTATTTTTCGTCTAGTGTCTATTGTGTTGTTGTTTGTTAATTTTATAAAGTCTAATGCTTTTGGAGTTTGTTGATCAGACACTTAATTGTTCTATTTTAACGTGTTGCAGAGAGGCGACATGCTGAATCTTCTCGCATCAGGGAGAAGTACCCTGACAGAATTCCGGTATTAAACAAGTCATATTTGATTTATAACGGATTCTTATTTAGCAGTGCTCGATATTTTGGTTCTTTTACCATTTGCTAATGTTATCTACATCTCATGTAATTCAGGTTATTGTCGAGAAGGCTGAAAGAAGTGACATACCTGATATCGACAAGAAAAAGTTAGTACCTTTCAACACTTGGTTATAGTATCACAATTTAGTTCGTGTCAAGAAAGTTTTTATGCAGTGCTATCTCTTTTATACTTTAGGCAGAGTGTCGATAAATACACTCTAGGCATTGATTATCCAAATGTTTGCATATAAACAGTTCTGTGTTCCTAATTTGTTAATCGCTTTTTAACGTTTGATATGATTTTTTTTTTTTTGCAGATATCTGGTTCCAGCTGATCTGACAGTTGGGCAATTTGTTTACGTTGTCCGAAAAAGAATTAAGCTCAGTGCTGAGAAAGCCATATTTATCTTTGTCAAGAACATCCTCCCTCCTACTGGTAAGGATAATCTTTAATTAAGAGCGTTGAACTCTTTATAAACTTATTTTTTTATTGTCTAAACCGTATGCGCCTCTCGTTGTTACTGCAGCGGCGATGATGTCATCAATTTATGAGGAAAACAAAGATGAAGATGGTTTCCTATACATGACTTACAGTGGTGAGAATACATTTGGATCAGAAGTCTGAAATGGAAAGCACAATTGAGCTGTGTATATATAGTCAGAAGGAACTTGTGCATACTCTTTAGTTATTTATTTCCGTTTCTCGTAGAATGATGTTTTAACTTAATTTGCATTTGAATGGTTATTTTATGGCAGACTTTTAATATATTTTTCCAGTTTCTCATTAACGTAGTTTTTACGGAAGTAGTTAACTTTGCTTGTTCTTCTATTCTAATCGTCTTGTCGGTTATTTTTACGCTTAATTTCTCAAATTTTAGTGATGGGTTCAGCTCGGAGCTTTTGCTGTGAACTAGACCAGATTCGTACCCAGTTGACTTTCAGTTTCTTGATTTTGACCAAGCAAATCTCCCATTAACAGTATAAGTTTGGCTTTTATTCTTGATTTTGTTATATTTTCTTGATGGAACCATAATTTTGAATCATTTAATACGTAATAATTTAAAAAGAGAAAAAAAAAAATAAATGCCCGCCGTGTAAACAGAAATAAGGCCATTTTGCCAGTTGGTCAAAATCAAGACATTAATTAAAATTCAATAGCACGTGATTTTATAAACCATTGGTTATTGGATGAAAAACGTGTGACAATCCACAACGTAGATCCACACAGCTTGACAAAACCAAATTCCCAAGGCCAAACAACTAACTAAATATCAACAATAAAGTGGATTTTTCATTACATGCACAGCCTTCTTTTATTGACCGTTTAATAATACCCTCCCAACTTTTGTCAATGAATTGCTGGTAATAAATCAATGCTTGTAGCCAATAGTTGGTTTGCTTTTTTCACGCGTATATAAATCTCTCTCCACCCAACACCAGCGATTCCAACATATACAAGAGACGAAGAAGAACTGAAGGAGCGAATACAGAAACTGTGTTAATAAATCGAGAATATTGGATATGCCTTTGTTCTACATTTGGAGATGCTTTTCTGAGCAGCCGGAGAGGAGCCAGTACGTTTGCGAAGGTGACGTGTGTTACTTACGAGACGCCAAGCCATCATCAAAAGCATCCGATAATTCGAACAAGAATATTGATCAGATCAAACAAAGCATCCGATC